TACCGCTCAATGGTGTGTGTCACGAGACATCGATCGTCGAGTACAGACTGGCTTTGCTCAGCCCAGCCAAGCCGCGTTCTAGTCGCGTCTTTTGCTGTGTCATGACTGAGTCTTGCTGTTGTCTGCCGTAGTGAACGAACTTGTGAAGTCGGGGTTAGCACGCAGAGCGAAAGAGAGGTACGGTCGGTGTAATTCTCGTGATCGTGGATCGACGTGAACATCTGCGTGAATGGTGGAAGATGGAGGCCATGTTCATTTTAGGTAAAGATGGTGGGAACAACGCGTCTTGCGTCGGCTCATCCCCATGTTGGGTCGGCTTGTGGGTTGCAGCTGTGGTGGGTGCTAGTGTACAAAATTTTTATCTGATCTTAATCCCTGTCGTGTGAGTCAAGAACGGGGACCTTTGAGAGGGGAAGGGCCGATCTAATCTTATCAGATGCCCCACATATGACAGCCATAAAAGTGGAAAGCATCGCTCGGAGGGTCTCGGTTCTAGCACCTCGGTGCTCGGAAATGTCGGCCTTATGTAAGCTTTTTCGCCAAGGCTTAACACCTTGTCACTCAAATTTGGTGAGGAATCTGTTAAGACACTGACGACGCTCGCTCGGCGGTAGCTCTCGCTGACTGACAGGGGGGAAGTTTCTTCCCTGGGATTTCGAGCACATCTTGACAGCAAGCGGCAGGTAGAATGTGCCCACTCCGGACCGGAGGCTAATCCATTTGTAACTCGGTACTGATTGATATAACCGTGGCCGTGGCCTGTGTCTTGCGCGCGGTACATTTTCCCTTCGTTTTTGATCATTTTCGCCTCCCGCGCTACAAGATTGAGCCGCATCAACACCATGAATTCAGCCAACGATACAATGTCCCCCTCAGTGGATGACGGTGGGAGTCTGTCTCCCACTAACTCACGCGAAGACGATGAGAACTCCCAGCACCCCCGCAAGCGTCAACGCGTGCGTCTAAGTTGTCTGGAGTGCCGCCGGAGGAAGCTGTCTTGTGACAGAGGCTACCCGTGCCAGCGGTGCCTGAAGAGCGGCACGCCGGATCGCTGCACGTATGAGACCAAGTCGGGTGCTGTATTGAACGCCAGCTCTGGCGTTCCGCCTGCCTTTGCCCAGCTCGACTCACGGAGGAACGGCGAGCTGGCTGTTCCCGGCAAGGAAGCCGATGTTTCTCTTATCCGCGAGGCGGCCAAGGATCACGACCGCATCCGCCGTCTCGAGCTCGAGGTCGCTCAGCTCAAGACTCAACTCACACGACAGGCTATGTCCTCATTTGATGGAAGCACAATTGCCGGCACCAACTCGCCACTCACTCAAAAGGATGAGACCAATGAAGCACCAGCCGACCCTTGCGCAAACAACTCAGAGCTTCAGTCATGCTGGCATCAGTATGGTGATGGGGACAAGTCAGAGCTCCGCTTTTTCAGGGGCAAGGAATTCAGAACGCGGTATTTTGGTCCTCACAACGCCACAATGGCTTTCATCGAGGTAGGTCTTTCACGCTCATATGAGCCCTTTTTCATTCTTATGAAGAATTATCATCTGACTGCCCTACAGTTGACTGGTCTGTGCCCCTTCATGAAGGAGACAGCAGATGAGTGGCTCAAGCCCGTGAAGGCTCATGACCGCAAAGATCGCAAGAAGCGCAAGGATGACAGAGACAAGTTCTACATTCAGCCTGACGCCCAGCTTGAGGCTCTTCTGCCACCAAAGGAGCACTGCGATGCTTTGCTCGAGGTCTACATTGACCAATTCGAGCAAATGCACCGCATCATTCACATTCCCACCTTCCGCAGAGAGTACTCAGAGTTCTGGGAGAACCCAACCGAATCTCGCTACGCAGCACTCACCGCTCTTGTCCTCTCCATCTGCGCGGTAGCAAACTGCATTCACACCCACGAGTCTTTGAGGTTCACCGGAATGATTTCCAACGCCCAGAATGCCGCTGAAAAGTGGATCAAGGCTGTTGAAAACTGGCAAGACCACCAGAGTGTCAAGCACCGAAAGCTCATCCACTACCAGATTGCCTGTCTCTTGTATCTCGCCAAGCGGGTCAACACCGTGAAGAAGAAGCGCTTCTGGACGAATTCTGGCGCTCTTATCCAGGACGGCATCTCTGTCGGACTGCACCGGGAACCGGGCATCATGGGAGCCAGCAAGATTTCAGTCTACAACCAGGAGATGAGACGGAGGATCTGGGCTACTGTGCAAGAGTTTGACATGCAAGCCTCTTTCGACCACGGACTACCTACGCTCGTGAGCCAGCTGCACTACGATGTGCAGCCACCAAGAAACTTGGACGATGAGGACTTTGACGAAGATACGACGCAGCTCCCGCCTTCCAAGCACGGCAAGGAGTACACTTTCTCCTCCTACCAGAACCTGGCCCGCCAGAGTCTGCCGCTCCGCATGGAGTTGAGCCGCCTTCTTTGTGGCCCTCCTGGGGACCTCGACTACGACCAAGTCATCCGTTACACCAACGACATCACGCACGAAATCGATTCGCTTCCCTCCTGGGAGCACAACAGCAACAACACACACGGCGGCAAGAGACCGCTTCTCGCCTACACTCTGCTCCACATTCAACTCCGCCAGTACATCGTTCCTCTCCACCAACCTTTCCTCAAGCTTCGCAAATCCAACGCCAAGTATCAGTACTCTGAGATCATCTACTACAATGCCGCGCGAGACATCGTTCTACTCCACGACAAGCTCTACGAGCAGGGCATCCGCAGCCTCAACTTCCTCCGCGAGGACGCGCTGACCACCGCTGTCAACCTTTGCAGCGTCACGATGCTGCAGCCGCGCGGCTCGACAAACATGATCATGATCAACTCGCAACACACCGTAAAACTTCTCGAGAAGTGCCTCCACATGAAGGAAGACAGGATTCTCCGCTGCGGCAACAACGAGCCCTGGGGCTACTCCATCATGTGCTCAGCACTCGGCCTTCTCGAAGCCCACCTGGGCACAAAGACCACCGAACAAGCAAAGGCATCGTCTGCGGAACGGTTCGTCAACTTGCACTACAAGCTGCTAGCGAACCAGGAACCTCCGGTATCGAGCCAGCCATCAGAGCTGTCCAAGATTCCCGGCTTGGAAGTTCCCGAGAGACCAAAGGTAAGCAAACCCACCCATCCGTTGTCGTTTTCATCTTTCAGAACCGAACAGTGGCTGACTCGTCCCCCTCAGTCGGTGACGCCCTTCTCCTTCCAGGGCTACCCGTCGTCGCAGAACGCGATGGACGGGCTCCTGCCTCAACCCCTGCCGTGGATGCCACCATCCATTGATCCGCAGGTGAGTCTCCACGACTTCTCCCCAGCACTCCCAGCACTCGTCGCTGACAGTGTGTTGGCAAAGGCGCAGTCATACAATCCCGACTTTAATCTTGAAGCACTGGGATTGAACTTGAACGAGTTGTGGGGAGAATCGTGGGACTTTAGTTGATGCATGCGATGTCTGTGATGTCTTTTTTGATGTGTTTCATGGTTACTCAGAAGAAAAGCGAACCTGGGCTGGTTGTTTGATCTGGGATAAAAAGCCCCAAAGGGCGAATTGCTCTTGACTTGTATTTTGGAGGGCGATTTTTTATCACGTACAGTTGTTACGATGTTCGGAAAGCTTTGTGATACCCATCTCAATTCCTCTCTCTATCTCTGTTTCTCGTTAGATCTAGATGTGTAAAATATATACAATCATGTTGGTCTTGACTCACGATCTGAACACGAGTCTTTCAAGGTTTTCTGGTGAGCTGTTGTCCTTCTCCTTTCGTCTTGGCTCGAGATATCCTCAGCCTCACCACGCTTCGTCGCCCTCGTCAAAGCCCATCGGAAGGCCCCCGAGAACCCGCCGTTTCGGCAGGACCCGAAAACCATGACTCGAGCAGATTAGAATATTGGGTAACACGACGCCTGGACCACATCTAATAAGTCACCGGACCGGACCAACTCATCTCCTCAGCAAAAGAACCTACAGTTCCCCTCATATCCCCAATAGCTTCCAGTCGTCTTCAATTGCCATGTGGAACTTGAAGCTTGTGCGAGGCTTAAAAGAGTAGAATTATCCCAATCGACCCGCCATCGACCAATGCGGCTCCACCTATACGATCTGTAGACATATATCCCTCGCTGCCACGAGTCGTTCGTGACTCGTCCGACCACCTAATTCGGGCACGGCGGGCTTCCCCAGCGTCTGTCGAAACCGTTGTAAAACGGTAAATCATTCAGCGCGACACTGCGACTTGACCAGAGTCAACCTGGTCTCCCTCTATTCTTGACCTGATGAGATCATTCGCAGAGTGTGGCGAAATCCTTCCCCGCAAGGCGCATAACGTTACCCGCGTGTTGCGGCTGAGGCAAGCAGGCTGGGTTTAAGCGACTTTCATGCCATTCGCCAATTGTCGTCATTGAACGATATGCGAAGTCATCGATATTGTCATCAATAAATCTTTCACTCTTCTCGATCCATCAAACTCGGCCGAGCCAAGGAATGAGTTTCCCCTCAAGCGGAAGAAACGTGGACTCATTCTACTCCACAGCTATTCAACTCAATATCATTCTCGGCGTGGATTTCCCGTCACCGCCAAAGCGTTTGTCCCCCAAGAACCCAAGAAGCATTGATGGCACTTGACGTCTCGAGCGGGGGTGGAAAGTGACTGGGAGGGGATTATCAAGGTTACATGGTCTCTCACTGGCGGCGGACAAGATGCCAGATCCAGGAACCATGGCAGGGATCAGCTCGGCACCTTCAAGTGTGGCCTGTAACGCTGCAGGACCACCCCTACCTATTTCTTCAGTTTCCCTCCAACCACCTTCTCCTTTGCGGCCCCCAACGGGCAGCTGGCCATAGTGGTTCCCTTAACTCCACGATATCGACCCTTTTTCACTTCCAAGGGTCCTATTATAGAGAACGGTAGAATGTGAAGCTGGTGAGGGGGGCTTCGGGCTGCTAGCACCGGCACGCGGCATTTGTCCCTTGTCCCTACAGACCTCACATGGCCCAATTGCGTCGTAATGCCATGCCACGGGCGGGGTCAAGAGGTCGTAGACAAGTTCAGATGCTCGAATGATTACCATCTAGCATCCAGAGGGGGCCACCGTAGCCTCGGAGATGATGAGCTTTGTGGGATATTGGTTCGTGTCGCCCTGGTTGCTGTGGCCCCTTGCTGACACCCTTTCTCTGGCCCGCGTGGATGAATGGCTTGTCGTGAGAGGACCAAGAAGACGACGAGAGTCGGGAGAGGAGCTATAAGATGCAAGACGACGCTGATCGGACGCAGGAACAGGGCCTAGGTAGTCTCTCAACATCCAAGTTCATCAGTCTTCTTTTTCCTTCGCCGAGTCAGATTCCCCACGTCAAAACCGTCATCTGCAGTCGTGACAGTTTCAGACATCGGATACACATATTTAGAGACGATCTCCCGGTTCATCTGAGAGACTACTTATCTACCTCTTCACCTCACACCTCCTTCGCCACCTCTTCATACCCAATCACACCTGCGGTTCACAATGGCGCCTTCTCTCCTCCGTCTCGGTGCATGGCTCGCTGCCGCTGCTGGCTCCGTCACCGCTGCTCCCCTCGAGCGCCGTGCCGTCATTGCTCACGATGCCGTCGTTGGCTTCCCCGAGACCGTTCCATCAGGCACCGTCGGTAGCTTATACCTCAAGTACAAGCCTTACCTGAAGGTCGTCAACGGCTGCGTGCCCTTCCCTGCCGTGAACGCTGCCGGTGACACTGGGTATGTTCACCTCACTTAAACAAGCACCGCACTCAATTCATCTCTAACCCATTATCCACAGTGGCGGCCTCGCCACCTCCGGCTCCTCAAATGGGGGATGCTCCTCCAGCACCGGCCAGGTCTACGCCCGCGGCGCCTCCTACAACGGCGCCTACGCCATCATGTACTCCTACTACATGCCCAAGGACTCACCCTCGTCCGGCCTGGGCCACCGCCACGACTGGGAGAACGCCGTCGTCTGGCTGTCCGCCGCCTCCACCTCGGCCACCGTCCTCGGCGTTGCCGTCTCCGCGCACGGCGAGTACGACACCAAGACCTCGGGCATCGACTACACCGGCACCAGCCCCCGCATCGGCTACCAGAGCGTCTGGCCCGTCAACCACCAGATGATCTTCACCAGCGACGTCGGCGGCCAGCAGCCCCTCATCGCGTGGGAGTCTCTGACCGACGCCGCGCGCACCGCGCTCACAAACACCGACTTTGGCAGCGCCAATGTGCCCATGAAGGATGCCAACTTCAACACCAACCTCGGCAAGGCCGTCTTGTAAGAGGGTATCTCATTGCGACTTGTCTTGTGCATTGGTAAAAAGCTCTGGGAGATGGTGGTTGGGAATGACGATTACTACTTAATTGTGAGGCAGGCTATTTGGCCGGCCTCGTGGATGACTTCATGCATATACTTTAGTCTTACTGAGGAGCGAGGGCCCTTGAAGCTCTCTGACGATGGCTCCGTAATACATAAACCTTTTACCCACTGTTCTGCCTCCGAAGTCATGCGTAACCCTGGTGAAGAACGTCTGCGATAACACACTTAGTCCACAAGATACGGAAGCCTCGGTTGGCGGCGACCTCCACAACAGATACTGGGAATCGTCATCGTCGTACAAGCTACTCGCTGAAAGAGGCAGCTAGAGAAATCTAAAGCCAGCTCGTTTCATGATTCTGCCATTGCCAAGTTGAAGGTTGTCGGTTCGGACATTGAACGGGCAATCCCGCCAACCAGCAAAAGCATAATTGACAAGCCATCAACCCCAAGACCCGGGATGGACGCTGCTGACCGTGCGTGCGACCGAGGCTTGGAATTTTTGGAGTCGCTTGGAGATCGTGCCAGGGCAGTTTTCTTGCCGCCTGCCGAAGAGGGTAATCGAACTCCGATGCAAGCAACTCAAATCGCTGGAGCCCAAAACGCACATCACAATCAACGGCCAGCGGGATAAGCGCTTGTAATCCTAAATCGAAATCGAGATGGGATGCCGATCACCCGCTGTCACAAGTTGTTTGGGCTGAGATCTGGCTTTAGAATGCCACTTGAAGAGAAATGTCATGCACAAACACGCAGTGGCTGGTTCGCAAGAGCTTTGGCAACTCCCCGTGTCACCGACAAACTTGTGGAGTAGACGGATACGTCGGCAGCATGCTTATCAATTCGATCACCAAGTAGTCAGTCCACTCCAAGAGTCTCCATTCGTTGAAGAATTCCCGTTCGTCGTCGACGACGTCGAGTTGTTGCGCCCACGTGGTGGTTAAGGTTGTGGCCGAACTGGGGCGTTCTGTGGCTCAGGTGGAGCAGAACCCCGCAGACGGGCAGTCCCCCGATTCCGAAGCCGCAGGCGGTCTTTCCACGACCCCTCATGTGCGGCATTTTCGGCGAAAACTTCAACAATCAGCATCTGGCCCTCTGGCGCAACGGTAGCGCGTTCGACTCCAGTTCGGGATTCACCGAGTTGCCATCGAAAGGTTATCCGTTCAAATCGGGTGGGGGTCATTTCTTTTGCTTTTTTGGACATCTGTGATGTTCAACTTGTTCTTTCGGGTTGTTGGAGTTGAAAGATAGGTTATTGTGGCCATTTTGCGTCTGTGAGAGACTGCGAAACTGAACACTGACATGTGTGGGCGATTTTGCCTTTTGCTTTGCTGAGCACGGGCCAAGAAACCTCAATGTCTGCCATGGCCACAAAGCTCAAACCTAGGTACCTAGCCTACCTCATCACTAAAGGACTAGGAAGTATTTCAACAAGAGTGCTTCAGAAAGTCATGGATCAGAGGCGAGTCTTTTTCCTGCGTTCTTTTCGTTTCTTCTTGTGCGCTGGCCATGTAATTGCGGGCATCTTCACTCAAGAATGCCCTCTTGTCAGGTTTGTTTTCTGAGCCCCGTGGACAAGTATCACTCCAGGCAAATATCAACGTAGGTAGGTAGCATTCCTTAGGACAGTTGCTCCCAGTAACGAGCTCGATACACGATTATCCATTATCCATTATACATATCCGTACTGCTCATCTTCCATCGGCCTCACAAGTCGTTCATACACCTCTTGCCAGAAATCCTGATCAGTCAAGTCCAGATGTTCTCGATTGAACTCTTCCTCGATACAACATCTGACCGCGTTGGCGTAAGTTATACCTCCAAGCTCGTGCCGCAACACTCGATACGCTGCCAGTCTATCGCAGAGCAGCCGTGACACGCCGAGCATTGCCTTTTCGTCGGTATTTCGCATCGACTCCGCGGTCTCTCCGCACCCAAGTTCTGCGAGGAGGGTACCGAGCGAAACCAAAGCTGGGTTTCGACAACCGAATAAGGGTGCCGCTTGTTTCCCTAATCTTCCGTCTAGACTTGGTAGAGTGGCCATGACAAAGGTATCGCCATAGCGAAGTAGAGCGTCCTTCTTCAAGAATAAGACATCGTGACTTGTAACCATATCCGGTAGCCAGTGCGTCTGATGTAGTTGTAGGAAGCCGACAGAAATAGAGGCAGCCGATTTTCTCTTTGCCACGTATTGCCCGTGTAAGCCGGAATACTTGCTCGGATCCTCGAGAACCTCCCGCAGAGCTACAGCACTCCAAGCATCACGACCGGGCAGGCATTTGCCAGGGTAGACGCGATATTCTCTGGGCTTTTCCGAAGTCTTGTCTGTGATTTCTCTGTAAGAGCCGGTCCCGCCTTGGATTTGTCGCTTGCGTATTTTTTCGCAAAGGTTGACTATCGGATTTGGAGCAGCGATAGTGACCTTCGTATCAGAGTCCGGAGCAGCCTGAAGGACGTCATTGCCCACTGGTTTGTTGGTGTCGACTGAGCGTCTGGGCTTTTTGGGTTGATGGTAGCGAATCACGATCTCTTCCCACATAGATCCTTGATGAAAACCGCCAGCCTGGTCAGCGATGCCGAAGTTCATGGACATATGAACATCAATATTCTGCAGAATCTCCTCGTCACTCCGGCGAGCTACTCTCCCTAGCGTTTGCGGCATAACTTGCATGTACACCTCATGCGAGCAATTGCCTGGAAAACTGGACAATAGCGCTTGATGAAGGCTTCCTGCTAGTTCGTGAACTAACTGCATTGTCCTGCCTCGCGCTCGTGATTCTCTCCTAGGGGCCATTCCGATACTTCGATCAATCAGCGACTCAATGTCGGTGATGTTGTTCTTTATTATTGTCATTGATCCCGTGTACGTGGATTTTCCGACGGCGAACATGATGCGTTTCAGTGCTGTAGCCAAAGGTGCGCCGTTCGATGATGGATGCTGAACCAGGAAGAGCACGCAAATCCTCTTGGGATGCAAGACTTGTCCTTACCTTTCCATTTAGCGGCGGATTGATTGACTTTGCTATAACTTCGATAGCCAGCTTGATTTCTCCAACCTTCTCTAGCAAGATCTGATAGGGTCGCAAGTCCCAAAGCCTGGCTTCGATCATCTTACGAACGGCATCCTCATGCCACGAGGGGCCAAATGGGTCATTGACCATGTCATCGACCTTAGAGTCCGGAACGATGCCAGTGAGAAGCTTCTCACTCACATCTTGAAGCCTGATCCTTTCGTTCTCCAGGTCGGTTATTAGACTTTTGAGTTTTCTGTCATACCTCCGCCAAATCCGTATCGCTGAGGCGCCGTGTCGGTAATGTTCCAGGGCGGATATGAGCAGCGGTATGGTGCCAAGGACCACGCCCACCACCTCAATACCGGACATCGTTCAATGCTGGCCAGGAACCTCCAAAAATCACCATAGTCTAACTGCTCATGTTCAGTCTTTAAGATTCATATCCGTAAGATGTCAGCACACCAGGCGATTCCTCTCCGTTATTTGCACATCGAGGGGAGATAAGCGCCCATCATAGGCCAGCCCGACGCGGCGCTTTCTCGTCGGTGCGGGGAAACTCCCGATAATCAATCGAAGGAGACCTTCAAGATAGACTCGAATCGTCTCGTCGCGTTTCCAACCATATACATCGTACCACAGCAACAGCTTCCCTGTCCTTCATACGTGCCTTACTTTCATTGTCTCATCTAGTGTCAGTCTACACGTCAGTAAATGCATCTTTGAGGTACGAGGTTGTTCATTCGCTTTTGAAACAGGTACACACCAATGTCGTTCGGTCCCCATTCAGGCACTGATTCGACGAATCTTAGCCAGCCTCTTCAATGCCGTCCTCGACCGGGACGTATCTCATACTTGCGGAACCGAGCCAGCATCATACGATTTCAAATACATGACAACATCGCTTCTTCTCACACCAAGCTGACGTCTCAACATGGCCCTATTCCTTGGAGATGTCGCCTTCGAAGTTATAATCTCTTTCGAAGAGCTGATCAGAATATGGCGACCGTACAACGGAGGACCTTCTGTCGTATCTCAACTTCCGAGTCTCAAAAGCGATCTAGTCCGGTTGAAGACGTGGCATGCCGACTTCACCACTCGCGATGTCGCTGAGTTGGACGGAGGACGTCTAGACCACCATCTGCGCACCGCACCGCATATTCAACGCCAACTCCTCAAGTTACTGAACGGCTTTCAAGATTCAATACGTGATGCAGAAAAGATCCCTACTAGACAGATGGTCCCTTGGGATAAGCTGAGCTACCAAGAAAACACCTTGGAAGATTTTATGACGGAACCACAAACGGAACTCCAACAGATAGCGACAGGAATCCGTGGACTGATCGACTGCTTGCTAAGACTCCGTTTTGCGACCGGAGACCCCGCTCCTCACAATCGTATCATGTCTGCAAAACTTGGAAGAGACCCAGAAGATTACAGCTTTTATGTCAATTTCTTCAAAGAGACATGAGATAAAATCGAAGAGTTTTTAGCCGGCCGCCTGGGCAAGTCAGTGTTCCAAAGACGAGAAACACTGAGACAAAGAGCATATGATCGAACAACATCAACAAATTCGATTCTACCTCTCAACAAACAACTCTCCGGCGCTAGTAACAAACATCAGACAGCCGCCGAATCAACACCTCTGACAAATTCAAAGTTAAAGATCAACGAATTCATGCGAAAAACAAATCCAGACGAGGAATCCACGTTGTCAGAAGGGGCTCGCGATATCTTCCAGGGTATTGAGGCCGAGGTGGAGAGTGTGCTTCACAAGTCGACATCAGATGAATTCCAGTGCCCATATTGCAATAGGACGCTGATGCTCAGTCACAATGACCGAGATAAGTGGATGTAAGTAAGCTAGCATAGCAATCCAATGCTGTCATTCATGCACTCTGGATTTAGACTAATTCAAAAATCATAGGCACCACGTACTGAGTGATCTACAACCATATACTTGCGTTTCCAGGGACTGCATAATTCCTATCCAGCAGTACTCGGAAGAGACTCGTTGGATACAGCACATGCTCGCCAATCACTTGAGAACATATCAATGCCCACTAGGCTGCAATGAGATCTACCCAAATACGATCACGTTAGCTGCCCACATAAATCAACGGCCCTCCGAGCTGAAAGCTGACAGTTTAGCGAGTCTCGTATCGAAAGCGGAAGCTCTTTTCTCTGACCTGTTGCAGACTTACAAAGTCGGACCTCTCAACGTCTTCTCGTATGGCCTTTTTCACACTAGGTTCAAACTTAGGGATGAGCAGGCGAGATTCAAAGTCTGGGTTGAAAAACAAGGCGCGCGCAACACCGGCAGATTTTCTCTTGAACACCAGCTCAGATGTACATTTCTTATCGCAGATTATATGATAGATTACCTTCATTTCTTGCTTGGAGAACTTGTCGAGTATCTTGAGCAGGTCGTCAAGGCGTGGGCATGGGGTGCGTTTATTGGTCGCAACTACAGTAGTGTTTGACTCAGTCGCGGACGATGTTTCTGACATCTTCATAGCAATTTCAGAGCCATTGGAGGATATTAACGACATTGTCCGCTGCATTACGAGACTCAACTTCACAATATTCCGCCCAACGCTATGAAAGATACCCGATGTCCAGCTCTTTAGTACGGACTTCCCATGGGAGACTCGGTAGCAGATTCGTGGCATGGTTTCTGAATATCAATCCACACGTTACACCCCCGAAGCCAGCTTGGAGAACACTCGGAGAGCTGTTCGGAGGAGAGTGGTCACCAGCGGGGCCGGCGACTTGGGGAGTCTGACGAGATTACTGTTCAGATAAGGCACGAATGCTCGCGATGATTTCTACCCATAGGACGAACAGGGTCCGGAGTCACAAGATTTTGATGAGTCGCATCAATATTGTGTAGCAATGCAAATACAAAATTGACCTTACAAAGATTGACTTCTGGCTACGGTGATGGGATGCCATAGCAAGTCTTTCACCTCAACAATTCAGTCAGATGCCCCCAGGACTTCGAGTTGAGGGCCTTGTGCGCATCGTGATAAAGATATTCTTCTCATTACAACCAAAAAGGCGCCCGGCGAAATGTTGCACGGGACTGACTTCCTTCTCGCCTGAGCGCAGTTCCTACATCACACGGGGCTTCACCTTGAATTCATTTTCCAGCTGCGCGATCACCCCTTCGTATACATCTTTTCGAAAACCCTCATCGTTAAAGTCCTGCTTGGGCAGGGACCAGTCCGCCGCGACACACCACGAAGCTGCTAACATATAACCTCCACAACTCATCCTGTCCACCGGAGACTCTTGGAGCAATCGCTCTGCGGTAAAATAATCTGATGAGTCGTCCGGACGCCGCAAATCACCGATAGTACTGCCAAGGCTGAGCTCTAGTAATAGGATTCCAAGTGAGAGAAGTGGGGAGTTGATGACATCGGAGCCACCAAGATTCGGGGAATGATTTTGCGGAATCTTTTCGGGAAGTCCTTTTTTGATGAAGGCTTGTCTGAAGTTGGGAAAAGACTGTGAGCCATCCGTAATGAAGTAGACATTTTGGCTTGTCAGAGTATTAGGTAGCCAAGGAGTTTGATGGAGTTGGAGGAAACTCGAAGAGATCATCTTGGCTAGATGGAGCTTGGCCATGAAGGGCATTTTGGGATGTTTAGGGTTCTCCAGGAACTCCTTCAGAGACATGACAGACCTGTTGTGTCGAGGTCCTGTGGATTTCTGGGGGTATATGGTGAAACTCCAAGACTTCCCCGCGTTTTGGTGAGATATCGTGCCCGAAATGCCTTCCTTGTGACTTCTGCGCAGCTCTTCACATACTTTGATTTGTCTGGAGAGGTTCATCGCTCCGTCACTGAGCTTCAGAGTTGACATCGTGCTTGTTAACGATGTTGTGATGCTCGGCTGTTCAGCGCCAGTTATAGCGACAGGAGGCTTTCGCAACGAAGCAAAGCTTACTCCCTTGCGTTGAGGTCGAGCAGGCGGCTGAGGTGGCGGCGTTGACTTTGGCTCCAAGCTAGAAGTGACTTGTGGTGCGGAAGCCCTGACAACTACTTCTTCCCAGAGAGTTTGTTGGTCAGGTTTCTCGGGAACAGTCTCGGTCATGTCGGTGCGATATGTCATGGCGAGTTTGAATCCAAGCTTCTCAATCATCTCAGCATCGTCCAGGTCGTGGGTGGCATCCTCGGAATCAGGCTTGAGGTCCATGTGGACTTGATGCCTGCAACCAGTTCTGCAGGACATGCTATCTCGAAGCGCATAGTAGACGTATCCAGATGTGTGACGAATCAAGCCGACTAGCCTTCCCTGGTACCGCTTTTGCTGTAGGGGTTCGGATTCGACGTCGTCTCTCATCATGGAGTCCAGAGTCGAGAGGTTTTTCTTCAAACTTTCAATTGCATCATCGTATGCAGGTTTGTGGAGGACAAAGCTTGCGCGCTTGAGTTCCCTTTCAATCGCAGACCCCTCAGTCCACCTGCGCTTTTCTTGAAATTAGCGACTTATGGGGGCGCACTATGAACGAGAACATTTACTTACTATCCATTGATCATCGAGGCCGAGATTTTCTTTGATATAGAGGATGGCTTTTTCGAGCTCTTTCATGGCAAGCTTAAATCTGCTAAAGGCAGTTTGGAGTCGTGCCTTGATCCTTCTCTGCACTACTTCCTCCTTCCAGAGTGAACCAAATGGATCGCTGATCATGAGTTTCCACTGCTCGGTTGAAACCAGACTCTCGAGATGATTTCCGCAAAATCTCTGCAGCCTCAAATACTCACATTGCAAGTTCTCAATAAGGCTATCCATTTCAAGTTCGAAATGGCGCCAGACTTTCATCGGCGCAAGGATTTTTTTGTAGTCGGAAAGAGCCAGAATCGCGAGGGGCATGGCGCCCAGAGCGAGACCGGCTACTTCTATGCCAGACATAGTCAATTGGACAGTATCAGAGGGTGCCGTTGCTGGTCTAGACTTCGGAACTTTCTGGGAATAGAGTGAGGGAAGTGGGAAGATGATAGGAAAACATGTGGGAGAAGTAGGAGTGGAAGGTAGGGGAAGTGATGGGAAGCAGTCAAAGTAACAGCAGTGTCACACTTGGTCCGGAAACACACTCCCTTGGGATTGGCCAGCCTGAACTACTCAACATATGTTTAATGATACGTGCGTAACACGGGGTTCATCATTTGCCTAAAGGGTCGAAAGTCCTATCAATGTTGCTAAATGTGTCCTTCGGTTGGAAACGTGCGTTGGAAACGTGCGTTGGAACCTGTCGCTGGCCTCGACAGCGCTTGGAGTCGCGTGCTCATTCGCTCGTTGTTCCGAACGTTGCCCGAAGACTCCGCGTCTCTCACAGCAACTTCTGTTGAGTACAAGACGCCCACACGTCAGTCAGACATGGCCTCGCTGACCTGCCTCAGTCTTCGTCCTCACAACATTACGTCGAGAAGATGGAAGAGAGTATCGCAAGCCTCGTCTCGAGAGTGATAGCTCGTTTCTCTCATCTTCTAGACGCTACCCAGAATCCTATCGTTTATCGCCCACTCTTAAATGTTCACCCAAAGCTTGTGGATGAGCAGGCCAGATTCGAAGTCTGGGCTGGAAACGTTGGCGCGCATAAGACTAGCCGCTCTTCCCTCGAGTATCGACTCCGCGATGCGTCACAAGTAAGAATTTTTGTTGGAAGACTCCTAACGAGTCTCATCAAATGCATCGATGGCGCAATCAAAACTCTCAACGATCTAAGTGTACCACCAAGTGAGCATGAGGGTAGCGGTCAAAAGCATGAGGACCTAATCTCAGATCTTGAAGCATACATGGAACGCTTTCCTGACATCATCAATTGCCTCATGAGACTCATCATCACGATTCAAAATCCAGCGCCGTGGGATCGTTTCCTGGTTTCGACGAATATAGACACTTCGGTATTCGAGATATACGACACTCAACACGTGAGCGCAAAATTCGAGGGAATCGATAGTCAGCTTGCGGAGCGCTTAGGAAAGGCAATCTCAAGGCGGCGTCAGTACTTCAAGTATAGAGAGGTTCGTCACGAGAAGCTTTCGCGTCAAGCGGATGAACAGGCAGACACCAACGTGACGGACACCATGTCAAGTACCGTGGCATCTTCTATCTACGATCACTCGAAGCCACTCTCGCAGATCTACGACTTTAGTGAGTCTCAAGACGTGGCTTCCGTGACCTCATACGACGCTTCATCTTTAGGAGATCCTGAAGAAAGGTCGGTCCCAGAATTGCCAAAGGAAGCATACGATGGACCATTTGAATGCCAATTCTGCTTCATGATTGTGGACATAAGAGACACTCGCGCCTGGAGGTAGTCTATCATCCCATCGCACACGTTCATTATACCTTAGCTAACCTATATTCTAAGACAACATGTGTACGACGACCTACGTCCGTACAATTGCCTAGCCAAAGATTGTATTACGCCGGATCGAGTTTTCGGGAAGAGGCATCAATGGATGCATCACATGCTGCAAAATCACCTCAGGATATGGCGTTGCCCTTTCAATTGCAACCGTACTTTCAAGTCTGCGTCTCAGTCTGCAGAACACTTGCAGACGAAGCATCGAAGCAGGGTACGTGACGAGCATATCGACTTCCTGGTCAAACGGAATTCTCAGCCCTTGGGTGAGAACGCGGAGGTAACATGCGAGCTTTGCTCCGAGACGCTCTCGTCGTTGAAGAACTATCGGCATCATGCAGGAAAGCATCAACAGCAGCTAGCTCTGTTCGCCCTCCCCCATGTTGATGAACCGGAGCCCGAACAAGGCCAAGCCAACCAGGCCTCGAACAAGAAACAAGATTCAGACTCTGACTCCGAGGCCGAGGCTAACTCTGACAACGGGGCCAAACCTGACCCCAAGGACCGGCGCCCTGTCAATGATCCGCCTATGTTCACCGTCAATATAAGCAATCCGTTCCAGAAGAAGCGGTCTTAGCGGCTCGCCTTGGAAAGGCCAGACAGCCAGATGTCGCCCAGGCCGCCACTCTAGAACACCAAGCCCATGATGACGGGTCCGGCCAGTCGAGGCTGGAAACCCATCACTGAGAGACCGACGCAACTTGAGTGAGAATCTGTGGGGGGGGGGGGGGGCTGTGACTGATACCACAAGTTGGTTTGTACCCAATGGCGGGTTGGGCAGAAGTAGTGCCGTTCTTTTGATAGTAAATAAACCAGAAATTTGCGTAGCATAAGCACATTCTGAACAGCATTGCCATGGCCTTTAACATTCGGCATCTAAGTAAAAAAACCATATCAGTCTTCTACAATTCGTAACGGTATTAAAAGAAGAAAGGCCGACCTACGGGCAGAAACTTTCCCTGCGCTACTACTATAGACTCCTTCCTTAACTAGCCCTCCTTAGAGACCGTATCTAATATAAGCGTCTTTACGCACAGCGGCTCGCTAATGGCCATGCTCTTAACCATGTCCATAGCGGCCCTGGCAATGCCGCAGCTCTGCAGTGCAAATCACACGTAATGTACTATGAATGTATAATGTTATCGCAAATCTTCCACCTTCAGCAATGCGATCAAATCACCCAGTTACTTCGAGTTCAATACCTATATACCGCCGTTCTCAGGCAGGTTCAATGTTGGGGCTCTGGCAAATCATGGACTCCAAAGGTGACATGTCTTTCTGAATAGTCTAGCCACGTTCTTGTCCGTGGCTGGAAGCGTTGAGAGCAGAGTTTGCACGCTTAAATTCCCTTATGATCATGGACTCTTCAGTATACCTAGCCTTTCTTCAAGTTAAAATGTAGCGAACAGGAGAACTTGGCTTAAAAGGTGAAATCCTTTTCGCTTTCCTTTGAGTACCAAGGGCAAGACATCTCTCTATAGAGTTGATGGCTGCTTCTATTACGTGCTAAAACGTATCGAACGACTGAGAGGGAAGCGACAAGAAACAGCTTCGCGGACCATCTTCCTGGGACTAGCCAGTCTGACCTACACACCATCGATCGATATTTTTGGTGCATAAAGAGGGATCATCGTTTTCTCAATGACAAAGCAACTCTGTTCACTGTCACATACAGCATTCGGAAAGACAACGTGACCTCGTCACCGCTGACCAGAACAGTATCGATGGGCTCCTTTGTTCTTCATGTGGAAAGCTGGCATATAAATATGTGTCTCTAGCGGTATTCTCTGATGAGTTAAAAGAGAAAAAAGCATGAAAACAAATCAGACACATCCTTTCCAGCCTGCATCAGCCTTCATTTTATAACCTCACGTCGATGCAATGGCAGAGAGTATCAGGAGTGCTGTATTGGAGACGAAAAACCAATTCTTTAGTCTCTTACCAGTCACCCAAGATCCTGAACCTCATCCACTGAACCAGTATCTTCAGTTCCACCTGGAGGATGAAGAAGTCGGATTCTTACTTTGGGCTGGATGGTTTAACGCGCACAAAATTAACCGCGGTTCCCTCGACTACCGGCTGCGAGATGCGTCGAAGATCAAAGATCAGACTCTGACGCTTGTGAACGACTACCTTCAGACCCTGAGCAATGCCTCCAAGTCTGTTGAAGATCTGCAGACGGCACTGAGTTCGCCTGATGGTCGCACATTGGATTTCTTGAATCAAGGGGACATCATCGCATATCTAGACGCAAACCCTGACGACGTCCCTCCCCTCCTCGCAGAGTCAGCCAGAATCGTGAGCGAGATCAGCAAAAGGCGCTGTACTCTGTGGAGTCTAGAAAAATCTATTCAAACCCCAGATCCATGGTACGGATCCCTCAGCTCAGAGCTAATAGATACCTCTGCATATGAGGCATTCGATATCCAGCACGTAAGCACCAAATTCAAGGGAATTGAAGACTACCTTGCCCAACGGCTAGGAAAAGCACTCTCAAGGAGGCGCCAGTATTTTAAGTACAGGAAGGCTCTTCACGAAAGGTTTTCGCAACCTGTAGACGACCAGGTGTGCAATATGACGAACATTCAGCAGGATACTATGGCATCTCCCATCCCTGATCACCCGCAAAAAGTCTCAGAGACCAGCATTTACTATGATTTATCGATTCTCTTCTCAGACGAATTCATCCCGTGGGAAACAAGTGCATATGACCCCACATCAAGGCTGATCCCAGACCTGCCGCAAGAAGCACTAGACGGGCCGTTCGAATGCCAATTTTGCTACATGCTTATTACAACACGAGACTATCACACATGGAGGTACTTCAAGTAGTCATCAAAACCTTGGTTATCGCTGCTAATCATTCTTAGACAACATGTGTACGACGACCTGCGCCCATATAGCTGCTTGGCAAAAGACTGCGAGATGGCAGATACTGATTTCTACAGAAGGCGCGACTGGATGAAGCACATGGTCGACCATCATTTTAGCACATTCTACTGCAACTTCAAATGCGGTTGCACATTCTCGTCAGAATCTGAATGCAGAACGCATTTGAAAACACGGCATTCAGATGAACTATCTAGAATCCGTAGAGAACACACCAACATCATGATGGGGTCTAGACCCATGAATGATGAAGTCGAACTCTCGTGCCCTTTTTGCTTCTATAAGATGCCCTTGAAGAACTACGAAAGCCATGTCGGGAAGCACCAACAGGAGCTGGCACTGTTCGCCCTTCCTAATATTGACGGTTACACTTCAACTTGGACCAAGGACAAGAAAAAGCCCAATCGGTGGTCCAGACTATGGAAAAGTCTTTCATGGTACAAGGAATACGCGAGCATTGCGATAACAAGACTCGGGTTTAGAAAAGTTTGAGAGTTTCTTCGAGTTCGAGGGCGAGATGGAGTTTGAGATTGAGACCGTTTGGCAAAACGAACCACTGCCGAAACTTCACAAAAGGTTGCAAGAGACTACAATTGCACATTACTAGAAGATAGCATATTAGGTTTGGGTGTTTATAGTATTCGTATGAGAGGAGCATACGTCATGAGGCCTCGGGCAAACTAAGCGACATCAAGCATAAGATCGCTATTGATAGCGTCTGAATAGAAGAAGCCCGATACGGAGCAGCACGCGGAAGGCTACTATGTTTTCGTAAATAAAAGCTTGACCGCAATACGTGAGGTATAGAAACCGCTCAAGTGCCCGATCGCTGATCGACTTTGGGTCCGGGTATCTGAGCGATACGAAGCAGGCACACAGCCAGTCAGCGGTGGTCGCTCTCAACGGAGAATATCATTCACACACCGCCGGTGAGCTGACAGGAGTGAGAGCTAGATGTCAAAGCTTGATAAATCTCGTGATGGGGATGATGTAAGCTAGAGACTGATGCAGGTAGGCGGCAGCTATCGGGAGCCTGGCATAACCGAAATACTGTTTCCGTCGGCTGTCTCTCAAGGCACTGTGTGTTTCCACAGCAGAAATCGTACGAAGAGGTTCGATGATGATTGACATTAGATAAATCATGGTTTCGGGGCGGGCGCCGGGGAGACCAACCAGGCGAGCTTGGTGCGAGCAAATCAAACAGGAAGCTTCATAGCACAGACAATAGACTCATCATAAGTATCAATCTCGACAAAGAGTACTTTTCATTAAATCCCCCAACGACATCACCTCCCACTCCCGAAAAGGGGCTTCTGCAACTACCTCAACACGGAAACGACTGCGACCACGATGCCTCCCGACGCCACCCCTAGTAGCTTTGCCATGCAAAAAAAAAAAAAAGGGAACACTTTCAGAACCAAAGCCAAGAAATGACAGCAAGGCAAACAAAAAGGGGGTACGAAGAAGGCAAAAAGGGGTTTTGGGGTATGTGTCATTACGAAGAAAGTGAATTTTGTTTGTGTGTGAAAATGTGTATTACAACGGTGGTGTGGACTGCCTCCCTTTTTTGCGCTATGTAACCAAAATGTTGCTAAATGCGTCCGATATCTCGGATGGCGTCGGAGCTTGGAACTTTTCTTGCGTGAAGCCAGCAGCAAGACGGTCCTGCATGACCTTGAGGAGGACAGCGGGGACGCTCTCGTCTGTGGCGCGGATTGTGAGACGAATCATCTAGGCAGAGTCAGCATCAATCGTTACTAAATAATGTCAGGGGTTAGACAAACCTTGGTTCCGTAGTTCGGCTCAAGACGCATCAAGCAACCAAACTTGCCTGCCTCGGAGGTGTGCAGGACACTAGCACCGACGAAGTTCTTCGCGTTGGGGTCGACACCGTCCAGGACACGCCATCGGAAGCCCTCGACCGTCTGCCGTACAAAGAACTCGTTCAACTCTCTATCCGTTTTGCCAGGTGCCAGACCAAAGATCGCTTGGGCCTCACGAGGAGCACCGCCAATCTGCTTCCAGCGCCTGAAGAAATCTTCGGCGGAGAGATCCGCGGGGTCCATGAACTTGTGTGCGGTAAGGGGAAGCTTGAGGGTGACAGCCTGCAGGGCACCAGCAAGGTAGCTGATGCGTATCGTCGGGCTCTTGTCAAACACCTTCTTTGACTCGAACATGATGACCTGCTGAGACTGCCCATTCTGATAGATTGTGCTCTCTGGCAGGTTCTTCACGTCCCACGTAAGCTTGCCCTTTTCGTTTTCGTCGAGATCCAGCGTTGTGGTGAATGAGCCCAGGGCCGTAGGGGTCTTGTTCTTGAAGTACAAGATCAGGCACGCCATCTGGCCTCTGTATTCGGACCGTACGCCGACTTGGAGTTGCCCATCCTCATATAGCACGCCCTCGCCCTTAAGCAGGAGCTTGTTGTATCCCACATCCCAGTTAGGAGACAAGTGGGCGGCGCTGGCCAGGTTTGGTGCTTTCGTCTTGGGTTCGGCAGGTCCAAGGTTGTTCATGTCCAGGCCGGCCAAATCGTTCACACCGTTGCCGTGGCCATTTGTTCCGTTCGTGCCTCCGTTGGCCGCGTGATGGCCGTTTGTATTTGTGCTGAAGGTCCTCTTGAGGCCACCCTCCTTGGCCATCTTCATTTCTGCCACATCTGCGTTCGCATCCTTGCCACCGACAATCCAAGTTCTCTTATCGCTAGTGTTGGCATGCTTCTGATGCACTCTGGCAAGCAGTGCGGATTGTCGTTCGGAGAATGGCGGCATTTCGTCGCATACAGTGCGGAGAAGGTCGTCTGTGGGCAGTGTGGCGAGCGTAAGGTACTCGCATGCTCTTTGCTGAAGCTCAGAGTCGAGCGTGTGGCTGAAGACCTGGAATGCCTTGAGAAGTTGGGGCTTGATTTCGGGGAAGAGGTTGACAAATTTGACGTAACATGAGAGAATCATGGCTCTTGTACTTGATGAGCAGGCGGCAACCTTGCTCTGAAGAGCCATGAACTGCTCAATGGGACTGCACTTGGGTTGGTCGGCGATGAGATGGCCGAATTCGCCCAAGATGTAGGCTCCGATCTTGACCAGGGTCTCGTGGCAGTGATCCGACTTGACGTACTGCAAGGAGTGCTGAGCCGCATAAACCTGCAGCTCTTCGTTGTTCGTCACAATCTGGATGACACGCTGCCACACCTCGTCGCTGACGTGATCACCAGCCATGGCAATCAGACGAAGCGAAATGTCCACATACCACTGAACATCAGTAGCATACCTTTCAGTCAAGATGGCAATCTTCAGTACCATCTCCTCTCTTATGGCAAAATCGGCGTTTTGGAGATAGTGAAGGAGTTCGCCAACAATGACTTGGGCATTGGATGAGTCGCACATGCTGTAGAGAAGGTCGAGACCCTTCCTCCGCACACTGATATCTCTGTCCTTGAGTGAGCCAAGAATGACGTCCTGGTGCTGTTTGATCGGTTCCAGTGTCTCGATCCGGGCTGCCAGATGTGTCATGGCCTCCAAACCCAAGTAACGAACGTTGGTTTCCCTTGAGGTCAAGAATCGGCCCAGACGAGATGAGATCTGCTTCAACAGCGCTTGCTCGTTATCCAAGTGAATGATGAGGTTGATGGCTTCGAAGAGCACGGCGTTCTGTGCATTGTTCTGCTGGACGTTCTTCGTTTGTTCCATCGCGAGGTTCAGAATCTTCTGCAACGACTCTCGGATCATCTCGCGGACATGAGTGTCATCTACGGCAATCAGCATGTGCTAGCTAGAGTAGATCTCATAGGGAACTTACCTGATGGAGGGAAGTACTGCAGTAGACGCAGAAGCTTGACCTGGAGCCAGGGGCAAGGGACCTTGTAGTAGAGGTAGTCCGGAGTGTACTCCCCGTCGATGACTATCCTCTTAATTCTTGCTGTGGCCTTCGCATACGCCCCCTTGTACGCATTCGCATTATCCTGGGCAAGGGCCATGACGAGAGACGTAACAGACAGAGCTACACCGACATCTACGTCATCCAAAAGCGATATTATGCGCTCGGCCCATTGCGGCTGGACGATGTCGGGGTTCTTGCGGTATAGACGGAGGAGGGTGAGTGAGGCCTTCTTCTTCACGAATGCCTTGGATGTTCTGGATCGCTGCTGTTAGTCACTGACTTGATACTCAGGGGTCAACCAAACGTACGGCGAAATCAGAAGTCTGTGAACCTCTCCACTCAGGGCCTCTCCCATTTCTCTGCCACCAACGTTGGCAATTGCGTGCAGAGCTAGACAGTTGAACAGCTCATTGTGGTCCAGCAAGTCCTTCCGTATACTGTTGACGACCAGGTGCAGCAGCTCGTGCTTCTCGTGGAGGAACAGGGTCATGGCAAGGTATCCAATCTGCTTCTCCGAGTACTTGTTCGCGGAGATGAGGTTGACGGCCTCAAGGTGGCCAAAGTCGACGTTCCATCCGAGGATGTAGATATAGAGGAGCTTCATAGATTGTCAGCACGAGACATCAGCCAGTGCAGCTCAAGATAGTCCGTACCTTGCACACATATTTCTTCTTGTGGTAACCGCTCAGATTGCCATCTGCATAGGAGTTAGCACAACGAGATCGCGCCGACCGACCGCAGCAATGGACTCGTACCCTTGAACTTTTGTCTGCACGTAGGAACTCTTGTCAGTACTCCGTGGCGAGACAGCGCAGCATGACATGCTGGGAGGTGCGTGCTCACCGAATGTTGGCCAGCTCCTTGTTGATTCTCTTCTCTTCCAGCTCCCTAGCTCGTGCATTTCTCAGGTCGGCGATGAATTGCACCAATCCTCGCATGTTGGAGTTGTTGCTAGTCGAGCGGCCGAGGAAGCCGCTCGCGGAGGACGACATGGCTGTGGTGGTTGCCGGGTCTGACGGGTAATCTGTTTGGAGCTGTCTCCTCTGCCCTTCAAATGCCTTCCCCCCTCTTCTGCGCGGGATGAACGAGGTTGAGCTGGCAAATATTGTTGGGCTCGCTCCGGGAGTTTCGTAGTAGAGCGGCGCGGATGCGGAAACGATGGGTGGTATATTTGGCGTCGGGTCGTGTGTTGTTGTCTGCTCCGGTGCGAGCGTTGGGCAATCACTCCATGCGCGCGCGAGGGGTCCTTTCTTTTCGTATTTCTGCTCGCTTACCCCAGCTGGCCTGCTGATTGCTGCGTGGAGTTTTTGGGGAGATCAACGGTCGGATCGGTGGACGGCGGGATTGTGGACTCGGCGACTCGAACTCGAAACCGGCCGGCAAGTGCCGCTGCGTGTCTTAGCAATGCGTTCCCGTCGAGTAATGAAGACGCAAGCAGGGGATTATCGAGAAGACAGAAGCTGGTGTTTGACTCGAGATTGAGTTCGACCTTGTAAGGCTTTCGGCGTCGATTCGCGATGTTGCACTGGGCGAAAGTGGGAAATGGGAAACGAAACTCCAAGGAAAGGGGTTCGAGGGGCTTTTGCGGGCTTGGGAGAAAACGACACTTTAGAGAAGCCCGGAAGGCTTGGGATTGGGAATGCAGCCAATGTGTGGAGATGGGCCACCTGCACATTGGACGTCTGAACGGGCCCATCAAACCACTCCGAGGTACCTCTGCTTGTACTTCTTTACAGGTGATGTACCTCTCACCTCAGCGAAAGCATCCTGGAGGTCTACAACACGCAACACGGGCATCAACAGCTGCTGCGAGTTGGACGTCAGGACCGTCAGGCAAGCGTCCCAGCGTCTATCAGGTGCTTGCTTGTCACACTTGTCCCCCATAGACTGGGCTCTTCACGGGCGGCCTTGCTGCTGTGCGCGCAGTGTGCCCGCTGCTTGAAGACTGGGCGCGTCAGGGGTGTTGCAAGGTACTTCCATCGACCTGTCTCTCAAGCCATTGAACCTGCTCCCCGTTGCTGACTGATGAATTTGGGGAGATAGAAACTCGAGAGGGGGACTTTGACCGGGGGGCACGCACGCTACGGGCCCGTGCAGCAGCGACACCTTCCCCCATGTCGAAAGATACGTACATGTAGGTAATTATGCGCTAAACTCGTTAGGTTCCCGTCAAATGGCAAGCTCCAAAGTGTGCTGACAAGCCGAACAAAGTGCTGCATCATCGAAGTTGCTGAAATTCCCATGCAGAAGGAAAGAGCTCCCCTCCCGTCTGTCAATCCATAATAAGAAAACCTTCTTTTGTTCAACAAAAACCCAAATCCTACCATATACCACAGCCGCCGCCGTCTCTTTGTTCTCCCGCAGCATTTTCAATTTCTAGAAGTCACACAAACCTTTTCCCACATGTCCGTCTCCGCGCTCCGGTGCAGACATGCGGCGCCGATGATGAACTCCACGATCAGACGAGTGGTGTGCCTCGCCGCCGCACCGAGCTCCCGGCTCCTTGTCGGACCCTCCTCCACAACCACACGCCGGTCCTACGCCGTGACATCCGGCGGCGGCTCTGCTGCATTTCAGGTCTTCAACCGTCGCACAAAATGGCTGCAAAAGGAGCGCGCAGCATCGAATCCCGAGGCCAGCCGGCAAGCAGACTATCTCAAAGATGAGGTCGCAAACCGGCTGTGCGAGAGGTTACTTGTGAGAACATCACCACCACCACCACCACCACCACCACAACCACTGCCCCCCTCTCCCAGAGCATTGCTTTACGGCAAATCTCGATCTGACATCACCAACAATGGCCAATGCCTCCAGAAAGTAGCCAAACACTAACACACTATGCTCTCTAACAGGACATCAAAAGAAGCTTCCCCCGCGCCCTCGACCTAGGCGCAAACTCCTGCAACGTAGCCCGCGCCCTCACCCGCGAGAACCCCGACCCGGACCCCTCAAAACCAATCTCGGAACCCCTCGCCACCCGCATAGGTGAGCTCGTCGCCGCAGAGTCCTCCCACGCCCTCCTCCACCGCGACGCCGACCTCCCCTTCAACAACGACATCTCCATCACTCGCACCGTCCTCGTCGACGAGGAACACGTCCCCTTCGACCCCGCCTCCTTCGACCTCGTCCTCTCCTCCCTGTCCCTGCACTGGATCAACGACCTCCCCGGCGTCCTCACGCAGATCAACAACGTCCTCAAGCCTGACGCCCCCTTCATCGGCGCCATGCTCGGCGGCGACAGCCTCTTCGAGCTGCGCACCTCCCTGCAGCTCGCTGAGCAGGAGCGCCGCGGCGGGATCTCCCCGCATGTCTCGCCCCTCGCTGACGTCCGCGATGTGGGCGGCCTGATGCAGCGCGCAGGCTTCAAGATGCTGACCGTCGACGTCGACGACATTGTCGTAGACTACCCCGATACCTTTGCGCTGATGCAGGACCTGCAGGCCATGGGCGAGGGCAACGCCATCCTCGGCAGGGAAATGGGCGCCATCAGGAGGGAGGTGCTGCTGGCCAACGAGGGCATTTACAGGGAGCTCCACGGCAACGAGGACGGGAGCATCCCCGCCACCTTTAGAATCATTTACATGATCGGGTGGCACGAGGGCGGCGACCAGCCCACGGCGCTGCCGAGAGGAAGTGGCGACGTGAACCTCAAAGACATCTTAGAGTCCAATTAGTAGACTTGATGCTGCAACTGGCACATTTGTAAGAAACAACTGTAAAACAAAGAATCGAAACAAAAAATTCTATGGCTTTCATTTGTCGGCACGCCCAGTCTTTTTCTAGTTTGAATTCGTCAAAAAAAAGACACGCCCAAAAAACCGAGCATGCCCATACTCATCATGAAGTTCATTACACCCCCATTTCTTTTTCTTCCTCATCTGGCCAGCAAGTCAAACCCCCTAAACCCGTCTCCAATCCGTCATGACACGACCAATAGTTCCCAACCCAGCCACGTCAACAACCTTCTCGTGCCAGCTAAGCAACACGCTCATCGCGCTACCGACGTTCTCGTTGGTGGCTCCCGGGCGACCGCCCATCTGGCTGAACCCGCTCGGCGCAGCCTGCGGCGGCGGCGACCTCAGTCCTCCGGAGGCCGCAGAGCCCGCCATGCCCTTGTAAATGTACTTCATCAGCACGTCGAGAAGCTCGGGTCCGCCGGCGCCGCCGTAGATGGACTTGAGGAGGGGCGTCATCTCGGAAGCCTTGATGGATTGGAGGACCTCGGTGATGGTCTGGAGGTGGGCATCCTGTTTCGTAGAACACATCTCAGTCAGCAACTCGTCTCTCTCCCTCTCAAACCTCTAGATAAAGCACCTCCAGAAGCGTAAAAGTACGAATGAATCTCACCTTGGCGCCATCAGGTCCATTGTACACAGGAAACTCCAAACATCCCCTCAACGCCCCCTCAGCGTCTCCGCCGCGAAGCAACTGCCGCACCTGGCCCGCGAGCTGCCGGACCTCGTCCTCGCCAATCTCGGGCTGCGGCGGCCGCAAGGTGTTGGTGTCAAAGTTACACGCCGAGTCCTCCTGCAGGGCATCAATGTTGATGGTCCGCCAGGCGTCGCTGAGCGAGGCGGCGTTGAGCTCCCGGTGAATAGACATTGTGGGTATGTCGTTCGCTACGCTGTATACGCAAAGGGTTCGGTTCGGTTATCGATAGGTAAGGATGTGTTTGCGGCAAGGTTTCTATATGCCGTCGGTCGCTGGCGTAGTTTGTAGGTAGCTTCGTCGGATTGCTCTGCGCAGAAACAATCGTCTTGCGTCAGGTAAGGTCGGGAGGTGAGGTAAGGTAAGGTAGCCGCATGGTCATGGTGGGGAGTTGGCTCGGTGTGGAGGATGTGGGGTTCACTGAGGCGGTGCGCCTGGCTGACGACGTTGGTCCGTGCCACGGTTCATTCATGCCAACCCGCTGCAGACTGGATCTTGGCTATCAAAAGCCTCGATGTCACTCATCGTGAGTCTACGCCAGCTCATGTGTTCAGCTCTGGGCTAGGCATCGCACTGCTCGTTGGGGATTTCAAAAGTACAAGTCTGTAAATAATGAATGTTTCGCGCACATCTTCCGCAAACACAAGAACATCACTGAGACATGGCATGTGTAAAAACTAATAATTGCATGCCATTGTCTAGGTCCAAAAGTTGCCCATCTCACACTCTCGTACCCCCTCATACGTATACACAACGTCGACCAGTTGTCCTACTACGCTGTCGACTTGTCGGGAATATCAAGCTCCCGCATTGGGCGTCCCCGCTTATGCGTCAATCAGGTTCTCCTCGTTTTGCTGCACCTGCTGTCTCTGCTTGCCCTTGTCCTTGGCCTCCTTGGCCGCACGCTGGTAGAACTCGTTGAGGACCTTGCCGGGAATACGGTTGAGCAGGTCCTTGGGGTAGAGACGGAGCAAGCTCCATGCGAGGTCCAGAGACTCGTAAATGGTGCGAGCCTCGTACTGACCCTGGTTGATGAACTGGCGCTCAAACTTCTCAAGGAACTCCAGAGAAAGCTTGTCCTCGGCTGACAAAGCCTCCTCGCCGACGACAGCCTTCATGGCAGCGGCGTCACGGCCGATGGCGTACTTGGCGTAGAGCTGGTTGGAAACATCGCCGTGGTCCTTGCGGGTCATGCCCTCACCAATGGCAGACTTCATGAGACGAGACAGAGACGGCAGAACGTTGATGGGCGGGTAGATACCACGGTTGTAAAGGCCTCTGTCGACGAAGATCTGACCCTCCGTGATGTAACCCGTCAAATCGGGAATGGGGTGAGTGATATCCTCGTTGGGCATGGTCAAAATGGGCACCTGGGTGATGGAACCGTTGCGACCCGCCACACGACCGGCGCGCTCGTAAATGGTGGACAAATCAGTGTACATGTAACCGGGGTAACCACGACGACCCGGGACTTCTTCGCGGGCGGCTGAGACCTCACGAAGAGCGTCGCAGTAAGCGGACAGATCGGTAAGAATGACAAGAACGTGCTTCTCGAGCTGGTAGGCGTAGTATTCGGCGGTTGTAAGCGCGAGACGAGGAGTGATGATACGCTCGATACTGGTATGTTTGTCAGTCTGCATATTTTATTACGGTACATTCTGGTATCAAAACTCACGTAGGATCGTTGGCAAGGTTGAGGAAGAGGGTGACACGCTCCAAAGAGCCGTTCTCCTCGAAATCGCGGGTAAAGAATCTGGCGGTTTCCAAGTTGACACCCATGGCACCGAAGACAATGGAGAAGTTCTCCTCGTGGCCGTCGTGGACACCCTTGTTGGTAACACCCTGCTTCTGGACCAAACTGGCCTGTCTGCAAATCTGGGCGGCGATTTCGTTGTGCGGCAGACCAGACGAGGAGAAAATAGGGATCTTTTGTCCGCGGGCAATGGAGTTCATGGTGTCGATGGCAGAGATACCGGTCGAGATCATCTCCTCGGGGTATTCCTACAGCCTGTCAGAATAAAAGACTACTGTATGGTATTCGGGGGCGTCACATACACGGGAGAAGGGGTTGATGGGACTGCCGTTGATGTCGAGGTAGTCCTCAGCAAGGACCTTGGGGCCCTTGTCGATAGCTCGTCCGGAACCGTCAAAGATACGACCAAGCATGTCCTCCGACACACCAAGCTTCAAGCTCTGGCCGGTGAACTCGACTTTCGTCTGGCTAGAGTTTTAGCGCTCGTCATGTTTGTCGAGATGCGATGATCTCATACCTTCTTAACATCGATGCCTGATGTTCCCTCAAAGACCTGTTTCCATCGTCAATAGGTGTTTCTTGTGTGATCGCTCGTTTTCGCATACCTGGACGACGGCTCGGTCACCTAGACATGTTTGTTAGCACACGGGTCATTGGTAAGGGGAGTGACGTTATGTAAATACCTCGAGCCTCGAGGACCTGGCCCTGTCTGTTGGTTCCATCGGGCAGGGTCAGGGAGACAATCTCGTTGTATCTAGGGAATTTGACCTAGACGTAGCGTCAGTGCCTAATTATGCAATTCGCTGGCGAAACCCCCAGCGCGACTGGGCGACGACGCACATTCTCGAGGATGACGAGGGGTCCGTTGACACCGCCGACGGTGTTGTACCGAATTCTCGGCACAATGGAGTAAGAGGGCTCCCGCGGGTCACTCATTGCTTCTGACTATCAGCGAGACAGCGCCGGCTTAGAAGACAATGCGTGTTGGGTCGGAGGGGGGGCGATTAGGAAGGGCGTGGGCGGGCGGATTGATGGAGACGATGCGAGGCGCTGCGATGTACGTAGCTGGAGGAGGTTGGCAGGTCGGTGCAGTGTCGTCGAATGCACTGCACTGGAGCTTGCTTCGTCTTGGTGGAGCCCGCTCGGCAAGCTGAGGTGGCGCCGATAAGATCACTGGCGACTGGGGGCGCGGGCCTTGCACGCCTGGGAGCTTCCCAGTACCTTATGCCATTATCGGTCTCAGTGTCAGCTTGGGCGCTAGCAGTCACATATTGTGGCAGTGACATCACATGACTGCCCGCACTTCAACCTGAAGGTACGAGGTACCTCATCATTCATCCAATGCGTCTTTCCTGGGCATTTCAGGGCAGAATGAACTTATACAATGGTACATATCAAGACGAGAATTGAAAAATGCATCTCAAACTCCAATGCAATTTTCAAGAAACTCAAGACTACGCTGTCGCCGCTTCACGAGATCTGGCGCCCAAAACAGCCTTTCCAACAGTGCTGTCATTGGCCTTGCTCAACTCGCCCGTGATCCAAGCTCCAATATCCGACATGGCGTCCAGATCAATACCAGTGTCCATACCCAGACTCTCAATAAAGTAAATCATGTTTTCCGTAGCCACATTGCCAGTCGCACCGGGGCTGTAAGGGCATCCTCCAAGACCGCCAACACTGCTGTCAAACGTGCGAATGCCATGCTCCAAAGACACAGCCGTGTTAACCAGAGCCTGGCCGTACGTGTCGTGGAAGTGCATCGCAATGTCCTCGTTGCGGATTCCCGCAGCCCTCATGCAGTTCAACAGCTCCTTGGTCCGGGGAGCGGTTCCCATGCCGGTGGTGTCGCCCAGGGACACCTCGTCGGCGCCTGACTCCAGCAGTTCCGTCGAGATCTCGGCGACCTTGTGCGGGTCAACTTCGTACCCCTCAAAGGGGCAGCCGAGGACCACAGAGACGTATGCGCGAACGCGGAGGCCGGCCGCCTTTGACTCGCGAATGACCTCGCGGAAGCGGTCTAGTGACGTTGCAATATCGCAGTTGAGGTTCTTCTTCGAGAAAGATTCGGTCGCTGCCGCGAAAACGGCAACTTCGACGGCAGGGGTCGAAGCATCAGCTGAGGGCTGGAGTTGTGATGCAAATGCGCCGGGGTATTTGGCCAGCAGCGCCTGGGCGTTCTGCAGACCCTTGATATTCGGTGCGAGGAATGAATATGATGTTTGGGCTGGAGAGGATACTTTTCGGGTGAGGAGGTGCTCGAGAATTTCGCTTGAATTGGCCATCTGTAACAGTTCGATCGTCAGTAACACTGATCCCAAAACTCATCAGGCCACTTGGGTGAGCTTACCTGGGGAACCCATTTCGGCGAGACAAAGGAGCCGCCCTCAATTGTAGACACGCCAGTCTTAGCGAGCCTCTCAATCAGCTCGATCTTGGTCGCAAGGGGTATCGTCTTCTTCTCGTTCTGGAGGCCATCGCGAGGACCGACCTCGACGAGCTTCACATAGTTGTCGCGGGGCGCCTGCTGGATGGGACCACTGGCGGTTGCGAACGCTCTCGCCGGGCGGATCTGGGCCTTTCGGCACGCCCTACAGACTGATGGGCGGATGGCAAGCATTTTGAGGTTGAATTGAATGAGGAATGGCAACGAGGGGTCGATCGGCAAATTACAGAGACCTTGGAGAAGAGCTGGGGCATGGGGAGCTTGGCCGCATATCGTCGGCTTCCACAATGCCTCGGCCAGTGATGAGTGGCGCCGCCCGGTGGCAGCTGTTCACTCAATTGTGTTAGTCCAACGTCACAAGCGCAACTACATCACTACATTTCAATGGCATAATGTCGTATTGCAAAATACAAACTTTTACTATCTCCCAGTTGCCTACGTCTGTTTGTTAAATCTGCCTCGTCTCTTGGTATGAATCAAAATACGAGATTAGACAAGGGCCTTTCGCGCTCAAGATTGGCGTACACCATTTAGCCGTGATCCTGAGATGCAACTGGGCGGCACAGCAAGCAGAGAGTAACGTATTGGACCGAGTGTGATTTTTCCAGGTAGTCTAATAGTCTCATGAGCAGTCCAAATGTCTTGGTTTCATTCAAGAATCGCGTACGCGCGTGGCGAGCTGCGCCGTAGGGGGCAACTACCCTCTCGAGGTGTTGTGTAGTAAGGCAATCATTCTGCGTGAGCCTTCTCCAAATGTCTGCGTGCAACCTTCACCTTGTCATGATCCAAACCTCCACGCCCACGATGGAACAATTCAACAATTCAAGGAAAGGGCCTTTCCTGCCTCTCCTCGCCCTCTTCATATGGCTGATGCCTCAACTTGTCTCGGGACAGACAGCGATACAGACGCAGTCGGTGCCTGCAATCATGCCCACATTGGCCGGGCCATCAAAACCGCGGATCACCCCTTGGGACGAGGAGTGTACGACCAGAGGCCTAATAAGGTCATGAATGTAAGATATCTTCCAATTTCCCTAGTCATCAAGAGCGAGTAACTAACAAAATTATACAGGCTCTACTCTTCTTGCACAAACTCCGTCATGCTGGACCAGTTCTGGTCGGAAAGCTGCGCACCGTACAGAACCAGAACCCTCAAGGAGAACGACGCATCGGATTCCATCGGAGTCTTGACAGATTGCTTGTGTCCAGCACACAAGAGTATCGCACGGTGATTATCCCTCCGATTCTACCACTTTACGTGACGTGTTGCGAAGTAGTAGGTATACTCACGCCTAAACTAGCGTATGCTTGTCTTTTGTCTGTCCATCCCAGGCAGAAAACCTGTACACCAAGCAACTTCTCGAGGGTGTCTGCCCTGGTGTCTCCGCTGTAGTCAACTTTTCTTATCCGTTCCAGACTTCGGCCACCACAACCGCCGAGGGAACTACAACGGCGACTTCGAGGGGCAGCGGTCCTGATGGCGCTGCGGGTTCGTTGAGAGTCCCAATGGCTTTTCCGTTTGTAGCTATCGCTATTGGCCTGTTTCTGTCCTTGTTGTGAGATAATGGGATGCTGTTGGAAGGAATCGGTTTGATCTAATATCAACACATTCATCATGTTGGTTTGACAGCTTATTAATGAAACGGGTTTGGCTCTCATCGCATTGATTCAGTGTGCTTTATCCTTGTATCGTTCATAACTGTGTATTCCATTGCGATTAGCCATCGCGCTACATTTTCACAAGTGACGCTATGCCACAATTCCAAGTCAATTCAGTTGCATCTAGCTTGACTCATTTACCCAGATCTCCATAAGTCGCCCTGTAAACGGGAACGTCGATCTGTCTATCCGCGATCCAAAGGACAACCAAGTCATGCTCACTTTGGCGACTGCAGAATCCTCACTTCTGGATACTGTCCAATTTCAAATAGGATTGTCATGCCATTGGCCTCTTAGAAACCATCTTGAGAACGTTCATGACTTTTTTATCATCATCGCTGACTCGGACCTTTTGTGTTGTTAGGCAAGCAGCAAGAGTAAGGAAAAGCATGTGGGAAAGCACAGTCAGACTCTATATGAGCTCCCTCATCCTCATGATACACTAATAGACACTGACTAAGACCGTTGTCTACCTTACAGCAAGGCTGCTGCCGAGGAGTCTTGACCTACAATCCCGGGACGGGCTGTAACTACCTCTACATAACTGGGATACAGCATGGGTGGGAAAGATGATTGGCCTCGGGGATGATGAAGTATGGCAAATGACAGGGCTCAGTTAATATTCCGTATTGAGTATGTACTGGTCTAGAACTCATTGATACAACTGGAACTCACAGTTTTATATTACCGTTTGATACCTATGCCCTGGTCCCGCTTATCGCCAATAACAGAGTGTCGGCCAGTGGCTGAGGATATGGACAATGTCCCTGGCTCCATGGACAGTCCTAGCGTGTTACATGTGTCTTCTGCCGCTCGGCTATACTACTGGTGACGGGGTCCAGGCTGTAAGAGGAAGAATTCTACAATCGTTCTCAACATCGTTCCAGGTGAGGTAGTCGATACTGGCCGGGTTCTTTATTGCCGGACGTGAGATGCTAGAAGATTCCTTCAGCAGCAAACTGCAAGGCTCACTTTCTATCGTATCCCTGTAGATGCGAGACATGGTTGTTGACCAAGGCGATATCGACCATGACAGCTACTCCAGACACAACAGATTCCACCAATGGCTTTCATGAAACCTATCCACCCACAGTTTTGGCATCAGCCTCCCAGTCTTTCTATCATCTGAGAGCCCATAGAAGACACAAAACACTTGGGGGGCAGCTGGGTATCCCAATTTTGGATACCCGGCTGGCTCCTTGCTTCCGCTTCAAAGTCTGGCATCTACTTCCCGCCGGAGAGAAGAGTAGCACCGCCACTTCTTTGTCCGGGGAGTGAATTTTCGAAAAAGTTACTCTCATACCTGGACGAGCGCTCCATCGTAAGGTACCTGAAGATCGACGCTCCCCGCGGTCAGGTACTTACTCTCCCGAGTTCCTCAGGGTTCGCATCTTTGTCTGACACAGTGTCCACGACTTCTTTCGCTCTGTCGCCGCCTTCTTGCTCACATAGCCACAGTGTAAAAGTGTGAGCCAACATGGTTTGCAGATTTTCCTTGCTATCTCCGACGGATCATAGGCACTTGCTCCCACTCATTCATGTTGGCCCTCATGTATGATATGAGGAGATTTCTTTTTTGTGCTGTGCTCGAAACGACGTAAAATTGTCAGCAAAGGATGTAGGAAGTTGCGATAATCGAGACCAGTGAATTAGAAGTAAGGTACGGCAGTAGGCGAAAGACAGTTGAACCAGGCATTTGGTGCATCTGTCAGGCGGCGTAGGGGACATGTCATTGGCCAACCCAGTAAGACGGCTGGCCTTGTGGGTGTTCATGGGGCGGATCTTCAGGCACAGCGCACCCCAATTGACTCAACCGAAACCTTATTTTCGCTGCCCCTGGCGACCATTCGACGACACTCTATTGACTTTTCACTTACACGGCTCACTTACACAGTCCACTTACACCGGGTTACACAGCCGAAAACCGGACCTTCTTTTTCCTCTACTGAACCGCACAGTAGGACTAAAGTAGAAGCGAACGTTCAAAGTCCGGTTAAGTGGCATTGCTGGTGGCTTGGTCAACTGGACATCAAACACTTCAGTCCATTTGACTTTCACCCAAGATTCCATGGAACTCTCTGCAAGACAAATGAATGTGAAATGCCCTCGACAACCCGGCGTCTAGGTCTTCCAGGTTTGGCGTACCTTGAAAGATCTCAGGATCGGATGATGGAGAACTTCATGGATGGCTAATTGGTACCTAGAGCAGTTTGTACTCTTGGTATTTGCGTCTGGCAGCCCAGAGTGGCTGTGTCTCGAACCATGGAACGACAGTGACTCCAGCCTTCAATGGTCTAAAAAGGTGTGAGCAGACCGGACGCTCGTTGCCTCGAGCATCGCCCACTATTGTAGAACTGATATTGAGCAATGATCTTGAAACTGGTATCATAACGAATAAAAGTGCAATGGATATCGTTCAAGTTGGCAGAACAGAAGTTCGATTGATATCGTTGCGTTCCAACATCCAGAAGTGGCATCTCTATACCGGAAAGCAACAAAAAAGATGCTCTCAAGTCGCAAGAACCTCCTTCAATGGACCGCAATGTCCATAATCCTCAAGCTCTCGAATCCCCAAGCCCTCACATCCACAACTCCCTCTATCTCCGCGTCAATTGCTCCACTCGTTACCAGACTCCTTAGACTGTGCCCAATCCTCTCTCGTCATTCTTGGGTGCCTCTAGTGATGTATGCCCTGAACACTTACCTGGACAGAAAAGTCATCCAGTTACCGCTCCCAATCCGAACTATGTTTGCTGTACCTGGACGCCCGGGCATTTGCCTTCGAATTCCAGTCACAGAGTGGCTGTTTTACACTCCTGAACCCCTCTACTTGCCGCCATTTTGCTTCTTGGACGTGTGCGTTGGCCGGAATGGCATCACCGGAGATACAACCTCTTCAACTTATGCTTCCCGGAGTGCGGGAGCATCGTGAACCTCTATAGCTTCTGCTTCTTCTTGTCTCCTATAAAGTGCCAAGTATTCCTCTGTCTTGTGGTTGTCAGCTTCTCTAGTCTTCATCACACTGCAGTTCATCTGGCCTACATTCATAAATCCAATTGAACTACAACTCCTCTCATCATATACTCGTTACAACCAACGAACACAATGGATTACCAGAACTTCCAGATGAATCCGGACTACTACCCGATCAGTCAGTCCTGGGACGAAAGTCTTGGCATGGTCGTGCCCAATTACACCGAAGACATTGATTGGATGAGTGAGGGTGTCCAAAATCAACTGACCGAGATGGCTTCCAACCTGTCTCATTCGATCTCCCCACAAGATTCGTACGGAACTGTCACCTCTGGTGTCGTCCAAGGCGCCGGAGTATCCGCCATTGAATCAGGCCTGGCAGGGGGTATGGACGCCAGCAACAGCGGCGGATATCACTTCCAAGAGCAAATGTCATATTCAAATGGCCCTGCTCTTCCCCCCGCTCCTATTCCTGTCCCCCTTGGGCCCTTCTTCGCGCCCGAAGCTCCCGCCACCGGCAGCGTATTCGCTCCGGAATTCGACGAGGATGTCAGCAGTAACAACAACTTCCCCGACGACAATATGGCGGGCAGCACCATTTCCAACCCGGCCTACTACTTGCATTTCGGCGGCAACTCTACCCCCGTCGATGACACGGAGGCCGGCAGCAGCCCTTTTCTCGCTGCCGAGGACTACAGCTCTCCCTCAGTCGACGACAATGTCGTCAGGGACGTCCTCGGCCCAAACAATCAGGACGCAAGAGTCCAGAAGAGAGGCAAGGGCAAGGGCAAAGCCAAAGCCCCGCGCAGGGCAAAGGAGACCACGCCAGACAGGCCCGCTCGCGCCGTCAGGGCCTTCTCCTGCAAGTCGTGCCGCAGGAAGAAGACAAAGTGCGACGGAAGCCCCGGCCACGCCTGTTCCAAGTGCCAAAAGGGCGGAACGGCGTGCGAGATTGACGGGAAAGATGGCCGCACCAACAAAACCATCCTCGACAAGTACGAGAGCCTTCGCGTTGCCCTCAACGCCCATCTCGTCAGGGTGGCCCAGATCTGCCACTACTTTTGCGGGTACACTTCTGAGCCCCAAGATCGTTGTCTAGTCGCGGCTGGAGCCGCTAAAACCCTTGAGGTGTTCCGCATGAGGGGCATCACGATCGAGCCCTGGCGACTTCAGGATATCTTGTGGGTGAAAGACTTCGAGACGCACCAGCTTCCGGAACACCGAACTCGCTTGGGTGAAATCGGCAAGCTGGTCAAGGAAAAGACGATGATCCTGGCCAAGATCATAGAGATGGTCACGAAAGGGGATTCCAACCTCTGGGATCATGGCCGCAGGTTGATCCATGGACTATTCGACCGCAATACAGCCCTCGAGGTTCTCGACAAAGAGATCAAGGCTGTGTTCATTACGGACAAGCAAGACTTTGTCTACAAGGTCCTGGCAAATGAGGTCGATGAGATCATTGCCCAACACCTCTAAGTGGGGGAGGGTACAGGGAATCGGGGAGTCTGTGGGTGTGGGGTTCTCTGGTATGAGGACTGGAGAGAAAAGGCCGCTCCCAAAAAAAAAAAAAAAAAAAGAAAGGGAGGGCAGGTACGGCATATATGCCCGGTGCGAAAAAGAACACCGTGCTTTCGGGAGCATTATCTGGAGTTTGGATTCTCCTTGGGCGATATACCCGGTGCAAAAAGACACCACGAGTTGGAGGGCGTTGGAAGGAGTTCTGGTCTTAGGTTCTCGCTTGAGTTCCTACATTTCGAGTTAGGCCGATTGGTTCTACTCTACTTCGTTCGTTCGGGTTTATATACTCAATATAAACCCATTAAAAAAAACAAATGGTCCTTGGTGCACTAACACGCTTCCCCCTCACTATCGTGATTCTTCTTGCTGTGAAGTGACTGAGTGTCAAGGCTAACCTTAAGTCCATCTATTGTGCTGCTTCTCTTGTTAAGCCGCCCACTTGGCAGCTCGTTAATCTGTAGAGGCTTTACGTCGACTTGTCCGGAAACATCGTATCCCAGCGAGGCCATCGATTTAGACACTGGAAAAATGGGCGTGAGGCTTCCCTAACGCCATTATAAAGGTAATCGCGGGATTCTTCTGGAGGATCCAGCGTGGCCATACCACTCGGCATGGGCCCGAAAATATCAATGGGAGGAGAAATGTTTAGGAAAATTGTTCGCAGTGATGAAAAGCGATCGAGAGCGAGAGTGGATGGCAAGAACAATTCCACAATCACGTAAAAAATGAGGCCGCGTACTCCGAAAGCTCGAGGAGGAAAGAGAATGAAGATGGCGCAAAGTGCTTACACCTATCTTCTCTCTCCAAGTCAGCTACCACTTGAAGCAGACTTATGGAGTTATTTATGTGCCTCCCTTGGAGAGAATGGTTCACATCAACGATAGCTCATTGCATCACCAACTGAGACGTCGAAAAACTAAAAGAAAGGGTGTGGATGAATGCAATAGCACCAGTGACTTGGTTTGTGGTTTGTATATCTATGATCGTCATCAATACGTGTGGATACTGCTTCGGAGCAGGTTGTAGACCGCATCATTCCTGGCCAAGAACTCACCTCGCTTCCCTACAGCCAGTGTATCAACTTTCGTCCTCACATTCATCCAGCTTCATCCAGACTCATTCAACATCCAAAAATCCATCACACCAACTCCGCTAGACCAAAATCTTAGCCTCACTCTTAGGCCCCCTCTCCCCAAAAATCGTACTTCCCACCCGAACCTCCCCGCTACCCAACTTCACTGCGCCCTCAAAATCCTCACTCATACCCATACTCAGCTCCAGCTCCCTCTGCAAGCCCAGCTCCTTGATAACCAGATCCCGCTGCTCCTTAAGGCAAACAAAGTCCTCGTTCTCGTTCTCGGGCGTCGTCGCCTTGCTCCGCGCGATGGCGCCAATGGTCATCAGACCGAGGAGCTTGAGCGCGGGCGACTCCTCTTCGACGGCGCGGCAGAGCGCGACCGTCTCCGGCCCCGGCTCGGCGCCGGACTTGGACTCCTCGCCCGAGGTGTTCACCTGCACGTGCACGCCGAGCGGCTCCACGGGGCTTTCGCCTGATGACGAAGAGATGAGCTCCGCGCGCGAGGCGTTGAGGAGCTGGACCTTTTTTAGAGTGTCTACGCTGGAGACGCAGAAGAGATTTGGGATCTTGGCCAGCTTCTTTGCATGTGCTATTGGGTACGCGTAAGCTATTTAAGAACTACGCAGGGGAGGGCGAGGAGCGCATAGGAGTCTTTGAGGAAACACTTACTTGACTGCAAACCACCGATAAAGTGCCACTGAATACTCCTAGGCAGCATCTCCGCCTTCTGACCCAGCTCCTGTGCGTAGTTCTCTCCGAAATGCACCTGCGGCGGTGTGGCCTGCTGGTGCAGCGCCAGGATATCGTTGGCTGGCTTCAGCTTTGAGACTGCCACCAACCGGACCTTTTGTCACTGAATTAGCGTCTATCTCATACAAAACATACTCCCTATCGTTATGAAGGGAGGTTCTCCCTGGTTTTTTCACTCTCCGGTTCAAAACAGAGGTTCCAGGAAGTATCCTGAGTGACGACTCACATTTCGCCCCGCAGCGATGGCGGTCACGCGCTCCTGGACGGACTGCAGCTGGGACACCAGAGCCTTTGCTCTCGAAGGATCAATCTTCATCTCGGGTTGGGCGTCGGTCATTGCAAGGTTTACTGTGGTCGTCGTATCGATGAGCAAGGGTTTTGTGGGCGAGGCAGTGAGTGAGTGAGTGAGTGAGACGAGGTACGGATTTTTTGGCTGTGAAGGTTGAGGTGAGGTTGAGTTGTAGAGTCATTGAACTTCCAGCGTCTTCGGAGATGGGCCATAGCTGCGCTAACAAATATGGGGCCGACCAACTGCGCAACAGAGTGCGGAGTAATGGAGATTAAGTTAGAGGCTGCTCTCCTGGCTTGGACTTATTCAACCACCTTGATTGTCTTTTATCACTTAAAGATATTCATCAGTGTGACGGACTTCGCTATATCGAGTGGATTGTTTGATCTGGAGAATTCTTAGAAAACTTACGTTTGCTAAAGACCGGTTCTTCCTTGAATTGCTCTCAGACCAAAGCGCGACGACCTCAGGGGTCTGTCTTCGCAGGTGAGGTTAATCAACTTTTGAAATGCATGCTGTAAAAGTAAGTAAAAATGAATTCCAGCAGACTTATATGCTATTCCAAACGATCGCAATCATATTGTCGGCAGTAGCCTTCTCTTCGCAAACGCATGGTCAAAGTCTTTATGAGATGGTGTTGGCCTCCCCAGGCCATTCCATCGTGAGGTCAAATAACAGTCACTTCACTATACTCTCTAAGTTGGAGGACAGCTTGACGGCTGAAAAGGATTAAGTGCTCAATAATTACTATGATATCTTAGATTATTTATTGATATGTTGCTTGCCCCCGCATCCACTTGGCTCCTCTCACAGATCGGTGCTGCTCTCCTCTGGAGGGCGATTTTCCAGATCGCACCCCTCATACAAAGAATCACCATGTTTCGCCCTGTCAAATCAAGCTCTCTGAGATCCCGAAAGTTCTGATCGGCCCCTTGAGTTCGTCGCCGGCACCTCCTGAGGCTCTCGAACACCAGATAGCTCCGTCATCGGACTCTGGTACTCGTCCACAGGCGACGGGTACGACGGCGGAGGTGTCTGGCGCCTGCTAATCGGACTGACATTGCTAGTCTGATGCGACAGCTGACGAGCCGGCGGCACCACAAACATGTGGTCGCCGGACGAGTTCGGGCTGGCGTATGCCGAGTCGTGGCGCATCTGCTGATGTACAACAGGATGAAGCGTCGGCGTGGGATGGCGAGCCTGGTTTCCCGTGTTCGAGACATGTGCCGGCCGGTTGCGCCTGCGCAGAAACCAGAAGCAGAGAGCCGCCGCTAGGAGAGCCCCAATCGCTGCGCATCCTACGGCGATTCCGGTCACGGCGCCGGTGGAGAGGTTCCCTGAGCCCGCTGAGCCCGCTGAAGGGACGGCCGACTCCGTTGCTGGCTCGGACGTTGCGTTGACTTTGACGACGAAGCCGCGACTTTGCAGTGCGTTGCCAATGAAGCCCGCAGGCGCATCAGTCTGGGTGTAATTGCCAGTTGGATCGATGAGTCTTAGAGCAAAGTTGGGGTTTGTGGCTATGGTCTCCTCCGTGATGCCATCCTTTTCTCCAATGTACCAGGTATAATACCCATTGTTTCTATCATTGGCTTCGCAAGGCGTCAGTTAGTATTATCATGCTGGAGCATCTTGCAATATTGTCGATCTTACTGATGAAAGACGCGACAGCTATGCCGGCATCTTGCCCCCAGTGCACTAGACTCAGAGAAATCCATGGTACAGTCGGGACTTCCCATGTGATGTGAACCTTTTGTCCAAGCACATAAGTGCTGTTGAGATCCGGGACGGTCACACGTGCACCGGTTCGGTCAATTTCGAAACTTGGAGGTTCGGTGAAGTAGGCAGCTCGAACGGGCAGTATCGAGAGAGAAAGTATTCCTAAGAGCGCTCGGCTGAGCGAACGCTGGCGGAGACACAACATGAGGAGAGATGAAGAAAACAGCAACAGAAACTAATGAGACCTGGTGAAGGAAACACACGCCTCATAATATGCATTTTTACCAACGATTACCGTGCCGTTTGCTCAGGGGACTTTGGGGCTTCGCGACTCATCTCGAGTCTGCCTTGACTAGGCCTGATTGAGGCATGATTCCTGAGACGCATGTACTTCAGCAAGGGTGCTAGAAAGAACGTTGCAACGAAATGAATGCTTCTTAGGCTAATTGAATGGCTGGTAGACACGATGCTGGCTGAGAATAGGTACGCTGTGCCGCTGGGCTACAGCAATACGAACGCGCCAGCCAAGACTTCGTGTAGTCGAGGTCGCGTAGAGTCTGTACGGAGTATATCATTTGCACACAGCTGACTCATTCTGACAATACTACATTGTTCATTAGGTTGTAATGGAAACCTCTGCCTGAGAATAGGCACGAGGTAGATGAAGCATCGTGATAGTTAGGATAATGAAGATTACTGGGTACCTTAGGAGGAGCTCAATTGAGGCAGTTTGGCCCGCCACAAGCTCTAGCCACTTTGTTATCGCTATCGGATAAGGTACCTTATGAGCAGCGCTTATCTTATCGGATACATTAGGATCCTTGCTTCACGTAAAGTTACGCGTTCAGAAATTCCAGGGGGGATCGGAGGGTGGGATGACGGGATGTCATTTTGCACGGCATGTTGGTTGGCTGATACCTGCCGTGCTGCTGTTGCCTTCAGGTTCCCCCTTGCTGTGCCTTATGCCGTGTGCCGACCGTGTCTGCGTCAGCTCCCCAATCCCGAGAGAGAGATAGGAAAGGGAAAAAAAGGGATGAAGGAGGAGGAGCATTGAATTGACGACGAACCCTCAACCACGATCGTCGCGTGTCTTCACCTTTCGCCTCTCACACGGGCAACTCCCTGGCCCTCTCTGACAGCTAAACTTTTTCGCCTTTCGCTTAGGGTCAATTTCTCTTCTTCAGCCGCTTTTGCACTTTTCTTTCCTTATCGTAGTTTCGGTCGATTTGATCTCCATCCTCTCATTTATCAAGCCAGGTGTCTGTTCTTCGGCTTGGCTTGGTGTTGGAGCTCCCTGTCCACATGTCATACCCTTGAGCTCGACCATTACGAATCGAATCGAATTGACTCGACTCCATCGACCCACGATAACCTCAATTGATCCATCCCACTCGGCCTACGGCCCTGCAAGGCCCCGAAATCCCGAATCTCTCATCGTTGAATACGCCTAGCTCGCCCATCATGCCGAAGCAACACATGATATTTGGGCGGCCGCTCCCCCGCATCGGCACAAGACGCATCTCCTTCCTCCTCGTCAGCATCTCCATCTTTGCCGTCTTCTCCCTCATCTTCACCCTCCCGAGCGCCATCCCCGCTGGCCCGAGCCTATCGAAGTACACCGACCACAAGTTCTCGATACCCTCAGCCTTGAAGAACCCATTCGGCGCCTCGAGCCGATTGAACCCCTTCAAGTCCCCCTCACACCCACCCCCGCGTCAACAGAATGATACCTACGGCGAGTCCTCCTGGTGGGCGGACTGGAAGTGGCTCTCTGTGCCCTTTTCTTCCTCATTGACCCTCGACGAGGAGCGTTCCCTGCTACCTCCCCTCAAGCCTCGCCCGGCCATCTATTGCTACTACGATACCACCATCAAGAAGGACGCCGCAAGCAAGGATGCCGAGAGCGAGCTCCTCCTCCTCTGGCGCCGCGCTTGGTGGGCCCGCGGCTTCAAGCCCATCATCCTCAGTGCCGCTGAGGCTATGAAGAACCCGCTCTACGACGAGCTTCAGCGCAAGGAGATGGACGCCGAACTCAAGACCGACATGATGCGCTGGCTGGCCTGGGATAATATGCGCGGTGGCTTGCTCGCCTACCACACCACCCTGCCCATGGGCTCCCACGAGGATCCCCTCCTCTCATACCTTCGCCGTGGCGAGTACCCAGAGCTCACCCGCTGGAACAACTTGAACAACGGTCTCTTTGCCGGCGGAGAGAAGGAGGTTACAAACGCCATCAAGGCTACCATGGCCAGCTCCAAGCTCAAGGAGGCCAAGGACTTCATCGCTGCTGCCACCGAGGACACCTTCAAGATTGACAACTACCCCAAGGCGATCGCCTACTACGACGTAGCTGTCATCCAGGACAAGTACCCCAAGGTCGGCGAGGCTATCGCCGCAGATCGTGCCGGTGGTCTCAAGGCCCTCAAGAACCTCATCAACGGCCACCTGCACACGACCTGGCAGAACGTCTTCTCAGACGGCATCGCCGTCCTCAAGCCTCTGCCTCAACACATGACGAATCTGATCAAGAACGCCTGGGACCTCGCCGGCGACCTCTCCATGTGCCCCGACTCCCCCATGCCCTCCTCCTGCCCGCCCAACAACCCCAAGTGCAAGCCCTGCGTCCCCGCGCAGCCCATGCACGTCTCGACCCCTCCCCGCTACCGCAACACCTCGACCCTCTACACCATCGGCACCGTGCCGCACCCCTACACCACCGCCCTCCTCGCCAACCTCCAGGATACGATCGAGATCCCCTGGCTCCGCCGCAAATCCGAGCGCGACGCCTGGCTCGGCGCCGTGACCACGGAGCTCCTCGGCGTCGGCATCGGCAGCGCCCCGCGCGTCCTCAAGTTCAAGGAGGCCGTCGCCGGCGAGTTCGCAACCGCCCACTCTCTCTGGCTCACGGCCGAAAAGGACCTCCCCAAGGACCTCGACTGGCACTTTGGCTTCGCCATCCCCCACAACGCCACTGACGGCACATCGCAGACCCCCGTCCCCGGTCCCGAGCGCCGCCCGCAGCCCAAGCACGACCCCGCTGACGGGCCCATCCCGACCGCCGAGGAGCTCGACAAGGAGAAGCCTCTGCTCAAGAGGGCCCGCGACATGGGCAAGACCAAGGACGCGCGCGAGCTTTCGATCCGCGGGGCCGTCGAGGCGTGGAACCTGGCTGATACCGAGTCGTGGAAGTTTGCGCGTGCGTTCCTGGCTCGTCGTATCGTCGAGCGCAAGGAGTGGGAGGAGAACGAAAGCCAGTACGTCGGCGGCGTCGGTACTGAGAAGGGTCGCCGTACGAGCTGGGGTGATCGCTGGATGGATAAGGATAAGAAGCAGTAGAGGTTGGATGACGTCTTCACGAGAAGGGTCAAGACGGATAACACAAAACAAAAAGTGATGGTTTCACATGAAAGAAAACTGCTACTCGGATTGTTGTAGTATAAAACGTCGTGGGAATCGACGTGTAACGCTACCTGTGTATGACTGTATCGCGGTGTACTTGTTATTTTCAACGGGATGTACGGATCTGGTATGAGGGCATCTGGAGTTTTAGAGAATTATGTTCGTTCCCGTGTAGAGTCCAGAATCAAAGAAATGTGATAAAAAGCAAGAAAAAACATCATGGAGAATTGCCAAATGGTGTTTGCTTCGACAGTGACATCCGCGGTCATCAAGACATTTGGTTGTAGCAATGATCGTTGACAGCTATCTCGTTCTTCCTCACCATGTCTTCTAACAACACCCTCTATTTTTTTGTGCCCCCCATTCTGTTTTCTACGATTCTCAACTCCGCCATGTCGTCTCGTCTTCAGGTTCCAATTCGGACCTCGTACTTGCATTGTACTTGTATTTAGAAGAAAAGCGAGATGTTGAATATCGCATGAAAAAAAGGTAGGAAAACACAACACAAAAAAAAGAGTGCGAGAAAGACAAGTTGAGTTGTCACTCCTACACGTCACGGGCCAAGCCAGACCTGCCCCCCATCCCCGTTTTGATCTCAAGAAAAAGCATACGGATAGATGGAAGGAATGCAAAGAGAACAAGAGCCCGATCCATTTACGCAGCGCGCGTGTCGCCGCCCAACTCGCCTCCCAACTCCCTGGCACTAGCGCCGTTACGACCGGCCTTGGAGCCATTGACGCCGTTCTTGGCCGTCTGCTGATGCTGCTGGGCTCCGTTGCTGTTGCCGGTGGTGGACTCAGTGTAGCTCCTCAGCGCGGAGCGGGCTGCCTCGACGACGCTCTCGGCGGCCTTGAGGGCATCTCTCAGCGCCTGGGCCGTGGGGTCGTCATTCTCAGAGCGAGCCCCTGAGTCGCGCTCCTCGAGGAGCTCGCGGATGTGGCCGTTGAGCCAGAGGCCCTCCAGCTGGGCGCGAGACATGTCGCGTGCGCCGCCGATCTTGCCACGGCACGAGGGGGTGCCGCAGAAGCAGTCGAACGGCTGGGCCATGTGCCATTCCGTGGAGGGGTAGAAGAACTGGGTGACACACGACGTCAGTGGGTGCTTTTCTCGACTGCCCTTCTCCAAGCCTCAAAGACGGTAGGCCATCCCCCCTGGACCAAAGGTTGCCCGGAGTCAGTGGGTGAAATGTGATAACTCACCGTCAGTTCATCGCCGGGCTGAAGTCCTTTCGGACCAGCCAGGACATTGAAGTTGCCCGTGTCAAAAATCTATTAATAGCACCTGTCAATCTCACATCTTCCAGGATGTCCCTGTCCCCGACCCGGGGTAGGTTCTGGGGGAACTTGAAAGTAGACGTTTGTGCTTTCTTAGCGGCATGACTAACAAGAGACGGTTCGCACGAGTGGTTAATGTACAGCAAGTCACTGTTGAGGTTCAAGTGCTTGGCCTTGCCGCACTGAACGGTGGCATACGTTGGCTTGTCGGCCAGATCGCATGGTGGAAAGGACATCTTTGCGTAAACTGCAAAAGGCGGCAGAGAGACCTTGGAGAAGCTCTTAGTGAGGAACTCTGTCTCGCTCGCCTTGATGACATCCTGGATGTCCGCGTGGGACGGCTGGGTCCAATGGGGCGTAAGTGGTGCCATTGCGAGAATTTCCGGGTCGAGGTTGGCGATGTCGCGGTCGTCGTCGTCGTCGTCTCGTCTAAATCCTGGAACAGGGTGTGGTTGGACTCGTTCCTTTTTGCTGGGTCAGCTTGCTGTCACATGTTGAAAGCAGAAGGGAATTAGACCAACGTGGGGCAGGATCCGAATTGTGGGAATTGAACAGGAAATGAGAAGTGGTCTCTCTTTAGAGTTGATGTTTAGTACAGATAATACAGGTAGGCAGAAAGGTTTGGTACTTGGGAAGTATGGATGAAAGACGGGAGAAAGGTGACAAGAGGTTAGAGAAGAGGGAGACCAGAGTTCAGGCCGGAGTGACCATATGGAATACCCTCATCTCTTGTACAAGAGGAGGGGTAAACCATCTGACATCAACATGTGCCGAGCTGTTCCACGGGTGTCCTAGGTTGTCCAAGATTGTCCAAGGTTTCACAGGCAGTTGTCTAGCTGCTGTAGCCAGTCGGGGAGCTCAATTGTCTCTGGATCGCTCATATTGTCGCCCGCCTCACATGCATTTCCTTTTGTGCATTCCAATTGCGGGGGACCGTCGTTCCGCAATGCTCCTGCAGGCAAGGGTTGCGGGGCAATGGATGGACGATGAGAGAAGCCAATTCAGCAAGTGCATATTCGTAGGTAACACTTGTGAAATCCCGTCCAAACAATGCAGGCCGTCCCCGGCGCCCGTCCGGTTGTTGCGGTAAAAGAGAGGCTCATCCACCGCCTGACCAATGGATGGAGGTTCGCCGACGAATCCGGTCAAAGACGGTCCATCCTGAGCCCCTGACGGTGCAGAAAGAGTGCGAAATACATGGATCGGCTAGTCTACGACTAGTCTAGCTGCAAGTCATGATACAGGGCCGGTACGGGGTGGCTTGGAGGGTTGGGGGTTCACCGTTCGTCTCTCCCTCTCAACTCTGCATGATGAGGTTGAGGGTGCCACGGGTGCTCCGAATACCCCTCATTTGCGCGACTCTGCCCCTCTTTTGACAGACAAGTCGACGACTTTCTAGCGAAATCAAGTCCAAGCTCTAGCACTCTGGGAATCTTCGAAAGGGTTCCAGTGTGGGGGTTTTGGAGGGGGTTCTCGTTCCGGCTTGCCACAGCCGGTCCAGCCCCTATTATTGTCCTGCTTGTTCCTCGGTGCTTTCGCCCGATGACCGAGGCTGAAGCGTGGGCATCGTCGATGGGTGAGTCAAGGTGCGTATTGCGGCGTTCCGCACGCTGTCCAACAGAACTCAGCAATTGAATGAATGCTTGTCTGTTCTCGCAAATTTGTTGTTCTGTGCCCTAGGAATACTGAACCCAAGTCACGGTAAACTTGACTGTAACATCTTATTCGTGAAGGCCTGGGCTGTTTTTGACTTTGTCTGACCGTTGATGTCAGTCCCGCACGTCCGTTCATTTGCTGTAGTCTTCTGGTCGTGGGTGTCCCTGGTCCCCCAACAACAAGACAAGCTTTCGAATCCATAGTGTCCAATGCTGTTCAGTCGACATTGTGTTCACGTCGGTTGAAAAGCTCCGGAGAAAGCAGTTCGGCGGTGCAAGGAGCGCAGCTTCGAAGCCTCAGCTAAAGCTGGAGTGACTTTCTCGATTTCCAATCTGCTGTACAAATTGTTGTCAATTCCTTCGGTAATGACCCACAAGGCCATTGATTCAGAGGTACTTCAGCTGCGACTTTGTAAGCACTCGGTGGATAAAAGGCCCATACCAATGATTAAACGCCAAACACATGCGACGGTTGCAAACGTCCGTTGCTCGGGCCGTCCTGACATCCCGCGCTCGCATGCTTGGATGGCACGGCCGCTTATTGTTGATCAGCCACAATCATCAGACCGCAGCTTGTTCCTCTCCAAATTGGGCTGATGTCATGCGGAAGAGGAGCTCTTCTTGTGCCACTGATCAGATGGTGTGATCGGTTCTGAGGCTGCAATAGGAAATTTCATATTCCTGAAGATGCACAGAGATGAAGGCGGGACGTGACAGCCATGATCGGGAGGCCTGCGACGCTCACGGGCGGCCTGTGGCCGGGCCTAGCTACCGGAACGGGGCCGCGGGTTGTGGCTCTCGGACCAACTTCCGGATGCAAGACCCGCCGCATCGGTTCTGGTCCTACTACAGCAAGGGACATGCGATATTCCACCCTTTGCCTTGCACGACGCAACCCCAGACGAGTCTCGTACAAAGGGTGGCCCCAGTTCCATCTTGCTTCCTCTAAACCCCAAGCTGAGTGAGCCCATGTCTTCTTGTTGAGGCAGTTGTCATCCATTCCACGGGCCGCTCAGTCCCAGCTAGGACCCCTGTCACCGTTTCCACGACCCTGTCGTTTCAGGAGGCAAAAGCTTGGTGACAAGCTCCAGTAGAGGAGCAGCAATGGCGACCAAGAAGGCTCAGCGTTGCGGGAAACAACCTGTCAAAGCCGTACAATCCTGACCAATTTCCGGAACTGCCCTCCGTTCTTCGAGACCTTCCCTGTCGAAGCCCAATGTGCGAGGACCCCGCACAAGTCGATCTGCCGCTCACCGAACGAACCCAACCAACCTTGACGGCTAGGCCGGGACGTCTGTCCTTGATGCCCTTGTTGAGCAGGAATCTTACCAACCTGCGTGTCGCTGGCGATAGGAGAACCACGGAGATAGCACACGCGCAGCCTCTATACGCGGCAACACTCACGCCGACACGCCACCCGGACTGCCCTGAATGTCTTGTGTTCCGCTGTCTCCCAATATTCGGTCTCGTGTTTTGTCATCGTCGTCAGCTGGACGGACCAAGCAGGGTTTGCATCCCTGCCCCTGCCCATGATTTTCCGTGATATTTCCCTGGTATATAAAAAGAAAGTGTGACAGAGGAGAGCCTGTGCGCCGTCGGTAGACTTCAGGACGGGCCTGTCATATCGGCAGAACACTGAGGGGCCTCTTGGGAGGCGCCCGTTGCCGCCGCCCGTTGATGTACGTTCTTCTCGTTCTTCCTCCCGTTGATCAAACTATCAAGGGGTTTCATTGCACAAAGCCACGTGCTCCCCCTTCGGCAAACACTCCTATAGGAGAACCAAGACAATGTACTCCTGTCCCTGTCTCCGAGTCACCTGGGAGTTCCTCGAATGGGCTTGCGTGCTCCGCACCCAATCCATCCCGCCGCTCGAGCGTCTTGGGCTCATGAGGGTGGGGCGGGGTGGTATAGCAAGACGAGGCAGGCCCCGAAGGAAGCTTTTAGAAAAAATGTAAATTGTCGGGCGTCCGTCCGTTTTCCTCAGTCCTTTCCAGTCCGTCTCTGTTACTATGATCATTCAGATGTCGTCTCTCTGAATCGCCGACAGTCCCATTCTGATTCGAATCCATTGCCTCGTGTGGCCAGCCGTACTCTTCTAGATACACGTTAGCATTCTGACAACGGTACAACTTGATCGGGATTTCTGAGCAAGAACATTGTACTGTCCTATCCAACACATCGACAGAAAGATGCGATCGACTTTGAGTCTTTCTCTCCTGGAAGAGAATAACAAGCCGCATCCCAAGCCTCAGCCTGACCCTCCAGTCCCCGTCCCCGATAACCCAGATGACCGGCGGCGATCCTGAGCCTAGAACGGCATCCGAACTTTGGATATCAAGGTCGAATATCCAAAGATCTTCCCTCGTATGAATGATCGGCTCCTGTCTCAACATTCTAGCAGACGACAGTAGTTGGACATAGTCGCCGAGTTCAGCAATGCGTGCCTTGGAGCCGAAAAGGGTCGGAACAGTTTCATCGTCAATACACCGTTCATACAGCCTCGTAAACTCGTCTTTGGGCTCGGATTTGAGGATTGATTGGGCCGTACGGGTTTCCGTCCCCGTTGAGAGGTTACGATGGACCTCCATCAGGAGCTTCAGTAGTGGATACCGAGCTCTCTATAGTATCGCAAAGCTATCTTCAGATGCTTCAGATTGAGAAGGCTTTCGACAGACGTGTGGGATAGCAGCGGAGACTCATCAGAGTCGTGCCCATTTCCTTGGAATGGAGTGGCGGGTTCTTTGGCATTTGGGGTGTTGAAGCTTAGCTTCTCTTTCCACGTTGAGAATGTCAGCCAACGTTGTAAAATGTCACCGGACCTGGATAACAGTCTCTTTTGTTCTGGGAATTGAAGGAACGATGTTCAGCTTTAATGGATGAAATGAGTTGGGAGAATTGGGAAGGTGGTAGGAGAGAAAACACGAAGGTACCTTGCCTTAGGCTCGCTCACACACATGACAGAAATCGAGAAGGACAGTGCTGTGTCCCAAAGCAACGTTGTAATACAATGACACCGGTAGATTCCTCACGTCCACAATTTTTTGCACTGCACAGAACCTACTTAATAGGCACTCTTTCCCCGTGTTCCATACTGCTCTTGTAACGCCTTTGGCTTGGACTTGCCGTCAGCGTACCTTACTTAGTACACTACAGAACAACAAAGAATAGGTATTCTGCTGATCATACAGGAGGTAGTTTCGTGAAGCCATGATAAGGGAAGGGTGATGAAAGGTTCAGGCAAAATGAATAAAGTAATGAAAGACATGAAAATTGTATGAATGCAGTCTTCAGGGTGAGAAATGGGCATCGCCTAAGAGATATGGCATCTGGTTTCCATTTCTTATGTTATGGGATACGAAGGATTAAAAAAACTCACTTACTCTTTCTTATCTGAGTTATCGTCAACAGACTCTTGTACCTGGTCTGTATTATGTGAACTTCATGTCTTCAAGGTGCCCATGCGAAGTTTGACATGTATTAGATTTCCCTGAAAGAGCGTTGTTCAGTCTGACCTACTCAGAGATGAGTGGAATTTCTGGGCTTGGAGTCTGTAGTTCTTTCATCAGAAATACCATCATATCTGGAGGAAGGACCTTCCACCGGTATATTGTTTGATCAGAGGCAAAGCTTTTCACACCTGCCTGCACATCACCACGCACCTGAGTGACCGCCTTCCCTCCATTTCATCGCTTCTGGACCACCTTCTTGCCTAGCACTTGCCTATCAAAAATTTCTCCTCACCTTCCAACAAATTAAGTGACCAGACCGGCCCAGGACCTTTCCTTCTCCCCATAACTTCACTTCACTTCTCTTCTCTCCCCACAACATCACTCGGTCGATCCTCGATCCTCCCTCCGTCACACCACACAATCCAAGCTCACCATTGCCAACCCAGCTTCGCTTTGCTTTGGTGTCCAACTTTTGGAAGTCTACCGATCATCTGCAGCTCCAACCTCTTGTGCAGCACTCGTTTCTGTTGGGTTGGTTGTGTTGAAATCGCCCAGCAGATTCTTATATTACATATCAGCCCGCACCATTGCCGACCTGCTATTTCGCCTCGTTTCTGGTAAGTGCTTTCGTTCACAACACTATTCCTGTTCTTGATTTCAGACGTTTCCCTTTCCAAATCTTCCATTGCCTAAACGAGCGAGATCGACGCAATCACGAACCGCCTTATCACTGCCGGCCAACCACTCCTCGAATGGTGTTCACCACCGCCTTGACAAGCGGTTCACACAAAATTCGTGGAGTTTACCATCAGCATTTACGGGAAGCTGAGCAGTGTCAAGCAAATTTTCACATCTGGCTACATCATCACCCGTACCCAATCGGCACCTGGCTAATTAAACGTCGATAGTGAACGACCTTACTTGCTCCAAGCTCCCAGTCTCCTTGACATGCTTGTCGATACCGATTCAATGGAATCGACTCATTACAGCATCAGCCAGCTCTTGGCCATCCGTGGTACCAAGCTGCAATGCTTGCTTGAGCAGAGGTTGCTTGAGAATGCCAAAGAGAATCCTATCTTGAGTACGCTATCCTCCCCTTTCCGGCCTTCCAGGTCCATGACACTACTGACCTCCTCCACAGCAGGCATCATTCGTCACAAGCGACCCCTTCCCCACCAGAGAGCTCCTCTAGTCTCTCGTGCCAACATGGAGGTCAGACAGTCCTCTTCTGGTGACTCGGAGTATCAAGCACCGACTAAGCTCCAGACATCTCAAGTCATTGCTCCCCTCCACGACAAACCTGTTCGCACACTTCGTCATGTCACTGCAGACGTCAGTCAGCTTGATGGACCTGCCGGTCGACAGCTCGATGGACAAGATGCCGAGCCCGAACTCCAGTCTGAAGTACCTTCTCAGCGACCTATCCTCCCTGACCAGAAGCGCAAGGGTTTTGAGCAGTTCTACGAAGCCGTCCGATCTCCTACTCACGTCCGCGTCACCGCTGGAGGCAGAATAGTCCCCAATACCCTGGATGCCTCTCACTCTTCTCCTACCGGAAAGAGCAGCAGGGAGAGAATCAACATGGATATCAATGGCGTACAGCCTTCCTTGGGACAAGCCTTCAACAGCCAATTCATGTCAGGACCTCCCCTGATGGGCCCTGTTCATCCGGCCATGCAGCCTACCTTCCCAATGATGGCATCAGGCCCGAATCCCATGGTTTCTTTCAGTGGATATGCAATGCCCCCCTTCAGCGTTCCCCAGGCCCCGGCGCAAGCACAGTTTGCCCCTCTGAATAGCGGCATGATTCCTGTCGGCAATGCGAATGAGAACAAAGATCAGAACGGTGGTGTCGTCCCCAACACTGGACCTATGCCCCTGCCTCCATTTGGCGGACAGTGGTTCCTCCCACCTCATCCAATGATGCCGATGGGTATGCAATACACTAGTGGTCCAACGTACTCTGGTGCTCCAATGATGCCGATGGCGTTTGGTCCAATGGGCCAGCCGATGGGCCAGACGATGGGCCAGCCCATGATGTTTCAGCAACCTCCTCAGCCTATGCCTGCGGCAGGCGCCAGGTCCTTCACCCCCAACGCGCCAGTCGAGAGCTGCCCAGTTTCATCCATTCGACCTAGCATCATCACCAAGAACCAGCTTGCAGGCCTGCGATCCAGCCTCAAGAAAGCAGAGGCTCAGTTGGCTTACAATCGCCATCAGATCGACGAGAAGCATATGGAAGAGTACGCCCGCCAGCTTCGTTCTGATATCGAGCACTTCGAGATCAAGCTCAAGGGTGAACTCGCCCTCGAGGACAGCACTCTTTCTCAGCGCAGCGACGCAAAGGACGCCAGCGAGGTTAAGACATCGAAGGAGTCAAAGCCGGCCGCTGTCGAGTCTCGGAAGACTCTCATGTCTGACTCCTCAGGCGATGCAGATTTCAAGAACGATCCAGCAAACATCACTCGTTCGAATGTGATCGAGGAGCCCAAGAACCCTCGCCATCGTAAGCGGGACAAACTCAAGCTTGCCGTGGACACTTCGGCGGCGTCTGCTCCATACATCAACTCCACCGTATTCGCGACCATCTCGCCTGTTCCCTTCGATCCTATGGGACATCATCAGACCAGGGAATTCGACTCACTCCACTTCCGTAAACAATCTACCGGTCTTCCCGTCTCTGCTGCTTTGGCACCGGTTTTCCAGCCTCGTGCTGATATTCGTCGTTCTAACGAGAACACTCCTCCAGTCTCGGCTGTGCCCAGGGCAGACAAGGAGGCTGGCGACAAAGTCTTCCATGGTATCCTGCCGAGAAACAGGGAAGAGTCTGATCGTCTCCTCTCAGGCGCCCCTCTCACGCCCGCTCTTGACGAGAAATTCGAAAGGATTATTCGTGAGAATCCTGAGTTGACAAAGGCGTACTTGGTTGGCCAGGTGCCTTTCGGCATGGATCCAAGCCCTAATATCAAAGATTACGTCTACCATCGCCCTCTCAACCAGGAGGAGGAGATGGCCAAGCATCTCTTCTGGAGCAATGCACCTGCGCACCTTCGAGTCAACTTCCCCTTCTTCGACGGTAGGAGCTTCTATTTGCCGTCGCCCGAGAAGCCACCTAGTCGCGAAGTCAGCGATGGACGCTCAGCTGCACGGCTCGAGGAAAAGTATCGCCGCGCGATCAAGGGGGACAAGAATCCTTTTGCCGCCTTGGAGAGATTGACCGGCCCAAACATGGAGCAAGCAGTGAAGGAACTGAAGAGAGACACCAAGTCAGACAATATCACCTCGCCCATGAAGCGCCGCAACAAGTCTCGCCCTGTTGCCCACTTCAACAGCCAAGGCCTTGACAAGTCGAAGGACAGCACGATCTCGTCGGACAACGTCATCGAGTCCGACTCCGAGAGAGCCTATTTCAACTCGTGGTCAGTCGCAACCTTCACCAAGCTCCATGCATCATACTTACTGACTTGATAGCAGCGTTCGTGCTTGGTCGGAGAAAGTCACTGCATCTGCGACTGCTCTTCCGGGAACTGTCACTTCGGAGAATGCCCAAGGCTATCTTCCTCAGTATGCCATCGGCCATGCCGCAGCCTCCTTGTCGCCCGCCATCGCCAACACTGCAAACCAGTCCACCCGCCTGTCGCCTTCCAAGCTGAATGACAACGGCAGACTGGAGGCTGGTCAGAGCTTGCTTGTCGCATCAGCTGATGGTCGTGTTGAGAACCAACCTCCCGGCCTTTCCATTGTGAGTAACGTCCACTGAGTGGGCTCGCAATGGTTATAGAGCTGACTGAAGAACTCTAGCGAATCAAGTGAAGCATCTCGGCCGCAACGCCATTGGCATCTACTTACTCTACTATGATTACGAAAACGCGTTCTAAACACTTGTACGGATTATTTTGAGACACCCAGTGCTATGGCGGCTTCCATTATCAAGGCATCGACTTCGAGTATTCAGGAGCCGTCGGCGTCACGTTTTGAGAAAGTGATCCTCAATACACAGCTTGTGCAACTTGGCCTTGGTACAGTACTCTCTAAAGGAAGGTGGAGGATTGATTGCATTGTTCGTGGAAACCAAATTAGTTAGGTTATGCTAGCATTAATGATCCCAGGTCACACGCGGTAGTTCTCAGAGTCAGGTGATATTTCAATGTGTTTTGGTCATGTGTGATGCTAAAACATTCTTGATATATTGAGTGAATGCTAACTGAGCGTAAAGAGCTGAAAAGAAGGAGATATCATGTATCTCACCATCAAATTCCCAGCCTCATTGACAAAGCTCAGTGAAAATCTTCGGGCGAGTGGGAGAGGTGGTGATTCCACCTCTTCCGGGGGTTGCTCTTCGCCAGTCGTATACCTCGAAAACCATGGATTTAGTGGTTAACGCGGAGATATCCTAGCGGGGATAGTACACAGTCACATATAAAACCTACCGTCTAAGAACGTTCCATATTTTATGTAGAGAAACTCGTGTTCTTGCCAGTCAATAGCAACAAATAGGTTAGCATGGTCACAGAATAATGTAGCAGGAGACATCACCGCCTCCGCGGAGCGGAAGGGGACGGTGGTGGCTTCGGGAGGACCTCCCATGGAGCATCTCACGGGTTTGAAGACGTGAGGTGGCCATTGAGAAAACGAAATTTCTCGATTTCATTTTCTAGAACTTTTTGTTGCCTTTTTAGCCTTGTTTCCCTCGTGCTTTTCTTTTCCCTCGTGCTTTTCTTTTCCCTTTCCAGGCAAATCTGGTTGTTTGCCATTGCCAAAACGCGTCAATAGGTCCTGTCGTGAAAAACGCCGTCGAAGATGTGGATGTCGTTGTCATGTCCCGCCGCCGCCGTTTTTGTTTTGAAAGATTGTACCGGTTCCCTTGAACTGCCGCTTTTGGATGTTTGGTCGTTTTGCTCCTCCAGCCCGTCATGAGTGAAGGCTTGGTTGTAATCAAGTCCCCGTCACTTGAGAAGGAGGAGAAGTCATCGATTCATGACGATTGAGACCGGAGAGGAGGAAAATTAGGCGGTAGCCTTGGACTTGACGCGGAGCTCACGGCCGACCTTGATGCGCTCAAGGATGGACTCGCGGTCCTTGTCAAGCTTAAGCTTGTTGATGACGACGTTGGAGGGGTGGATGCCGAGGGGGACGGACTGGCCAGAGGTCTTCTCGCGGGTGACGCGCTCGACGTGGATGACGTACTTGAGGCGGTAGACGGAGGTGACCTTGCCCTCGCGGCCCTTGTTGGCGCCACGGACGATGGTGACCTCGTCGTCCTTGCGGACGGGGATGGAGCGGACCTTTGGGAAGAGTTAGATTGCCTGGTTCCGTCCATGATGCAGGTTTCGGTGAACATACGTTGTACTTCTCGCGGAGCTCCTTGGAGAGAGGGGCGCTCATGATGACACGACGGGCGCTGGAGGGGGCACCGAAGTGAGCCGCGCGCGACTTGCGGCGGGAGGAGGAGATGTCTGTTTCGCGGCAAAAGTCAGTAAACTATCTCAATTCCCATCATGGACGTCAAGGGTAACACTCACTCTGGTTAACCTTGGTCATCTTGGCTGCGTTAGTACAAACGTCGTTTGGTTGGAAAGGGAATTCGGTGAGGTTGGGCGTCGCAGAGAAAAGTCGAGTAAGTCAAGAAACTCCTTCAGCGAAAAAAAAGTTTTGGCAGGATGGGGTGGTTCGGCCGTTGTGGGCTGCAAATTCGGAATAGAGCACGTGACTTAGGTCTTGGTTACAGAACAGCGGTGGTCCTAGCTCCTGGCGGTCTGTTAGGAAAAAGTTCAAAGGCCGGACTTGGAGCTCGATCGGCCGAGACCGGGATGCCACGGCGTTGCTGATAAGATAAGGCGTTCTCCCAAATAGAACCTTACCTTACCTAGACGGGACTTGGGAGCCATGAGAGGCGTCCTTCGCGTTACTTCTGGTCCTCTAAGAAGCAACCCGAAATTTGCAGCAAAAACACAAAGGCAGAGACAGGCTCAAAACTTCACGCTTAGACGAAGTTACTCATGGTCAGAAATGAGGGCTCTTAGCCCCTCAAGCTTCCTGCCACTTCACGGATACATCTTCACCATCAGGTGACAGTGACAGATTACTCGAGAACAAACATGATACAATAGATCTATATGCCGCCTTAACCACAGCCACGAGAATACAATAGCTCTTTTTCAACGCCTAGTGGTATGCTCTCCCCCAATGGGGTATACAGTAGTAGTCGAACACGGCCCGAGCTTGAAGATTCCAAGCAACGAGGTCTAGAGGGATCTTTTATACAAGTAGGATTTTGAGGTAGAACACGTCGTCGGAGTGGGGAATATGGTGTGCGTATGTAGAGCGTCTCGTCCGCGTTTCGTGAACATTGAATGCTCCTCTTAGTTGCTCGCAAACGGCGTTGGCGCCTTGAACTTGCCGTTGTCGTCGTACTTGGCCTCTGTAATCAAATCGTCAGCAACTCCCATTCACAGCCTGCCACTGAGCGAGTGACCAAAAGGAAAACGCAGAAGCCAAAGCCAACTCACTGAAGAAAGTATAATTCAACGTCACAGTCTCAATACCACGCATATTGACATCATTCACAATATCCGGGTCCAAATAGAAGAAAACCGGCATATCCACCGTTTCGCCCGCGTTCAACCTCTGCTCCTCGAAGCAGAAGCACTGAATTTTGCTGAAATACGGCGCCACCTGGCCGGGCGTGACGCTGTAGGTCGCGACCCCGATGATGTCTTGGTCCGAGTTGTTCGTCGCCGTGTAGAAGGCCAGAGCCGTCTCGCCGGGGAGGACGCGCACCTCGCGCTGCTGCGGGGTGAACTTCCAGGGGAGAATGTCCGAGACGGACGAGTTGAAGGTGACGCGGATGCGCGGGGCCGTCGTCACGGGCACAAGGCGCGCGGCGAGGCCGTCTTCGCTGTAGTCCACGTCCGGACCGTGGGCGCGGACGGGTTGGCCGCCCCAGCCTGTTGTTTGGCAGATCTGTAGAGGGGGGAGTGTGGGTTAGTGTCTGCAATGTTTCTTGTGGCATTGAGGGGTCGCTGAGGGTCGGGAGGGAGAAAGATGCACACCATCTTGTAGAGAGGGACAGAGCCGTATGACAAGGCGACTGTCCCGAGAATGACGCTGAGTGTGTAGTACCTGTATCGCAAAAGCACTTTAGCCCAACGATCCTCTTTGTACACTCGATACCAATTGCTATCTTACGCCGTCGTAGCATTCTTGCGTTTATAATGCGCGTGGATCTGCTCCATTGACGGCGCACCGCCGAAGCTGGGCCCGTTCTGCTGCTGCTTCGGCGAAGGCGTCGTCGATGCCGCTCGGCGGCCGGCCGGGGGCGTCCGCAGGCTGCGCGGCGCGGGACGGACGGCGTGCTGGCAGAAGAAGCAGCTCCATTTTCGTGTCGACTGCGAGGGTATGCGCCACGGGAGGCGCGGGAGGGCGTTCATGGTCGCGAACGCGGGGCGAAAGTTGGGGGATGAGGCCGTGAGGTTGTTGCCGGGAATATTGCGCCGAATCGTTCGACGATGTCATGCCATTTCGCATTTCATCGGGATTTGGGGGACCGACCTAGCTCTAGCTTGGGGGCGACGGGCGGTCCCCGAGAGGCCGGGGCGGGCGGGGTGGTTGTTCCGCCCCCGGGCTATGGTTGGCTGAGTTATAGGGGTCTATGCGCTGGAATTACACTCAAATCCCCACTGAAGAGCCCTTGTTTTGAGGTAAAGACCGTAGACAATGCAGTTAGATGCCCTAAGGAATGTCGACGTCGAAGACAATGTACGTACGAGTGCTGGAGTTCATGGTTTTTGCCACAGTATTAGATGTTTTGGTTGATTATGTACTATCATTTACACCGGCCTGATTCTGTTAACCTTGTCAAGCCGTACGATGCAGTCTAACGCCAAGTGCCATCACGCTCGTTCAAGCAGCTTTGCCACTCTTCAAAGACCTCCTCCACCCATTGCGACGCCCGTAAATTGCAGTCTCAGCTGCGCCTGCCACTCTCTCCAGTACTCTAATCACAAACACCTGAATCAAAAGGATGACGAGTCGTACCAGCAAGTCGGCAAGTCCCAAAGACGGTTTCCTCCCGCGGCTATACGTAGAGTCGACAAATTGGAATGGGAGGTTAGCATAGAGGTGGTCCTGTGCGGCATGGAGTCCACTGCTGAAGGCGTCCTCGTGGAAACCGTACTTTGTCCAGGCCCCCGCGTAACTGATGCCCCTCTTATTCTGGATGCGTGGAAGAAGCTTTTGTGCTCGGACGGCGGCAGGTGTGTAGAGAGGATGACGGTACGTGAATGACCCCTGAATCGTGTCTGGGTTTGGCTGGTGCAAGGGGTTCATCGTGACGAGGACGTCTCCGAAGGTCTCCCGGGGGATATGCTGAATGATGTTCATATTGTAGGTCAACGAAACTTGGTCAATGTTCTGCTTGCCGGTGGAGGGCGATGTCAGGGTCAGGTAATTCCAACTAGACCATGCCTTCTCAGACGCTGGCATGTGTGAGATATCGGAATGTAGGATAACCGAGTTCTCGGACGTTTGGAAGGCGGAAAGAATCTCCTTCTCCTCAGGCGTGGCTGATCCCTCAATAATTCTCAAGGCTTGGTCTCCGTGCGTCGCCAAGATAACATGGTCGTAGACGTCAGACTTGCCGTTGTGAGTGTGAACACGAACTCTGCCGTCCTCCTCGCTGGTGACCTGAGTGACCTGCGTATTGAGGAAAAGATGATTTGACGGGAATCCACTCATGACAGCGTCAATGTAGGATTTGCCGCATTTCTTCAATGTGAGCCACTCCGGTCTTGTCGCGACTGTGGACAGGAGATGGTGATTCCACCTGGTCTCTATTAGTACTACGCCCCAATCGCGGACAATGACACTTACATGAAGCGAACCAGAGTGACAGCTGGGAAGTTCAGCGTGCACTTGTCCGGGCTTGTGCTCCATACGGCGGCGGTCATAGGAATTAGGTAGTCATCTCTGAAGGCATCTGAGTAGCCTTCTCTTTCGAGGTACTCGCCGATCGTTTCCTCTCTCTTGCCTCCTTTGCTATATCCGTTCATCGCAGCGGCATCGTTCTCATCCTCCGCCATTAATAAGTCCAGTGCAAATTGGTTAAAACGAATGATGTCGAAGATCATCCTCCACATCCGCGGCGAGAAGATGTTTTTCCTCTGAGCGAAGATGGAGTCTAGACTTTTACCAGCCCATTCGAATAAGCCATGGTCACGAGTGACGCCAAATGTCATCTCGGTCGGGACGGTGTCCACCTTGACCCTCTTCAAGAAGTTGATAAAGTTTGCTGAACTTCATGTAAGTCAGAGGCTCATGATGGCTGATGCAGAGAACCTACGATATGTGGCGGTGTTGAGGACGATAAAGCCGGTGTCGACGCGAGTCTCATATTTGCCGTTCTTCCATGTCACCGTATTTGTGTGTCCTCCTAGCCTCGACGAGGCCTCGTACATATAAACATCATGGTAGCTCCGGTTGAGGGCCCAGAGAGCCGCGATACCTGCGGATCCACTGCCGACGACGGCAACCTTCTTCCTAAACCTTGGGTCAATAGGAGAGCCCACGGAGCCACGAGAGCCTATTGATTCCAGCGACGGTGGTCGTCGGGACATTGTGCAAGAGATACGGGAATGAACGTTGGGAACTGTGAGGTTTGTGGATGTTCCTAAACAAAGCCACTGAACGTCTGTCGCGCGAGGGCGCAGGTTTGCAATGCTACAGTGGCATATAAAGATATGGCAAGAGGAATCGGGGAGGCCGGTAACAGCTCCCTGCTCTGTATGGAATGACGGCGGGCAAGAGAGGGGAATTTTCAGACGCAAGCCACGGACGACGATTTGGGGAAAGAGAACAATGGTTCGCACATGCTTCCAGCAAGCCAAACTCACACCTTGTCTCTGTGACTGACACCCCGCCTCAGGTTCGGGGAGGGGAGCACAAAAGTCTCAAGTTGGCGGAGGCAACATTGGACCTTGGTACGCAGGTAAGGTAGGGAACATCTGGGTCTGTAGCACCACCACCACCACTTGGCTGGGCTGGGCTCCGGACCAATGCGCTTACTAGTGCTGCAACTCATGCAGCTGAAGGGATGGAACGGATTCAAACAGGTAGCGGTCTTTGGGGCTGTGGTAGTGGCAGCAGCTGTGTGTGCGTAACGTACGAGGTATGTGGGTGTAGGGATGAATGCGGTGTGTAGGCCGAGAGCGAAAGAAACCAGAGCTCAGTGAGACAAGCGGAGAAACAAAACGTACAGCGGCTGACCTGGCGGCATCTTGACCTCTGGTGTCTGTTTCTGAGGATGTGATGAGAGTCTGGTGGAGTCTCTTGAGAGAGGGAGCTCAGCTCTGGAGCAAGCAATGATCGACACGTGGCTGCCGGTAGCAAGGGCCGCAAAGAGATGATGTGAGGCGCAGGAGACAAGGTATTAGACCGAGCTGGAGCTTGAGATTGAGCTTGAGCAGAGAGGACCCTTTCTGAACCTTGGGATAAGTTTCTGGTGCGGAATTCGGTGACAAGAAAGAAGGGACAGAAAAGGTGAGACGGGCACGGAAAGACGTCGGCAGGTGTGTTCGGCCGGGTGATCACGATGCGATAAAACGAAACTCAGCTCTTGCCGGAGTTCCCACGCGCAATGACGCTTGCATTGGGACACCCCTGCACCTGATCCTTCTGCGTCCGCTGCGTCCCCAGCTCTTTCCCCAGCCCCCCTTGTCTTGCCGGACTTCAACTATCGCTCGATGGTTCACGATCCAAGACGCCACAAGTGGCTGGCTAAGCATTTTATTTTTTCCGAAAAGAGGCTGCAGATTCGAGACGACATCTGCAGATTCATCGCTCGGGATTTGATGGTTTAGACGCTTCATTTGGATGAACGCATGCTCGTGGAAAGTGAGGTCTGGCGACAACAGACGAGAAGATCCTTCCTGAAATTTAAGGTACCTAGCTTTCAACTTGCCGTTCATCAAGGAAATCGTTATGTGGAAAGAACACCACAAAAGGCCGCGATAGAGGCGTTCCATCTATCTCGCTATGAGAAGCTGATTTGAATCTCTCTGGCAGTTTGCCCAGCTAGAGCGATCATTCCGACGCATTTTTTTCAACGCGTGTCACGTTCACTATTGAATTCGATACGGAGAAGTACATTCAGCAGAATTCAGATTCGCGATGGCGCCACTTTGCGAAATTTCTACGATAAAGGGTAGAGTAGAAGGGAAACTTCTTCCTCACTGCCAGAGACTAGCTCCAGCGAGCAATGAAAAAGAGAAAAAAGGCCTGTCAGACGTCCATCGACACCCACCCTGACCGTGCGCCCAAGGGCAAGACCACAGTCAGGGACGAGATCATCACCGCTCTCTATACAGCAACCCTTGCAGGAAGCCGCCCTCCTTGCGGAGGGTGCGAGAGCAACCAGAGTTCTTCACTCTAGGGTGTCGAGGATATCAATCATCAACCAGGGTGGGATCTGTAGCTCCTTTAGGGAACCAAGAGTAGGTCGAATACTATAGAAATGATTCTCTGAAGTATTGTCGACATGAAGAAAAAAGAAGAAGAAAATCCTAAGATACGCGGTGGAAGGTCGCCGTTATATAGATTTTTCCAACGGCCGGGTTGCACGCACGGGCCAGGGGCGGTTGGGGTGGGTTTTTGGTGGGGTTTGCTGCCTGCGGTGGGCGACGACTGCTGAAATTTTCGACAAATGGCTGGTCACCGCCCAAACTGATTGTGATTTTGCCGCTTTTCGATGAAAGAGTATTCTGTGCGAAGAAACTTCCTTCTACATCTCGCGGGCCCTGCGCAATAAGGCCCTGCGCGCAGAGATTTCATAGATTTTGCTGTTCTAGAGAAGTCTTTTCTCATAGCTCCAGCTTCTAATGTTGATGTGTATGAACATTATTCTACAAGGGCATGGTAGACACTGTGCAAGGCAGATATCCCGATCTCTTCGCAGAGTCACTTCGAGATACCTCGTTGCTCACGTGAACACGCATTCAGAGTCCACTCAAAGTCCATGCGAGGCTGCAACGCGCGGTGAAGTACGTCTTCGTGGTTCGGGCAATATTACATTGCTGATGTACCTGGACTTAAGACGTGTTGGTAGGCAACAACCGGCAGGCACCAAGCGCTCATGAACGCAACAGCTGAACGAGTTCTCTTGCCTTATAAGCACCTCGATTTAGGATATTGCGAGCTGCCTCGTGGACCATCTCTAGGCAGTCATCTGCTGACGCGCCACTTGCGAACATATAAGGGCAAGACGCAGACAAAGACGTAATCGTTGTATCGTCCAGGTATCCTTCATGCGGATTGTGGACAGGCTTGAGCCGCACAGCAACTGACAGGTGAATACTCAATACGGTTCTCCGGAAAGATACAGATGTGCAATGGTTCAGCTAGAACCTGAGATGTGCAGTAACGTGTACCCATTTCA